TTTTTTCGTTTTTTGTTTTCTATCTCCATGACTTTACCGAAATAACCAAGAATATGAATTCCTGCGGTCACGAACGTTCTAAGTCGAAAGCCTGTCGAGGCTATACGGCGGGGGCCTTTGCACGTGCTGTGTGTTGTGTGCGCGTGTGGGGAGAGCGAATGGCTCGTGACGTGTCCTCATCTCACAGCTGCCCCCCCCCCCATCCAGACACACGTGGCGCGCTGTGTGTGTGTGTGAACAGCACCGCGACTCCCCCCCCCCCCCATCCAGACACACGTGGCGCGCTGTGTGTGTGTGAACAGCACCGCGACTGTCCCCCATCCAGACACACGTGGCGCGCTGTGTGTGTGTGTGAACAGCACCGCGACTACCCCCCATCCAGACACACGTGGCGCGCTGTGTGTGTGTGTGAACAGCACCGCGACTCCCCCCCACCCCCGTACGTCTTCTGTGTTCAAGCACCCGGGCAAAAATCGCAGCCACCCCGCTAAACCAACACGCGCACCCATCCCCCGCACACAAAAGACAAAGATCCCCCGTGTAGCCTTTGACAGGCTGTTGCGACAAGGGCTGTTAGCGAGTAGCACCTATGAAGGCCGGCACGGCACACGATGAGGGAGGGTCGCCAGCACCACGCACGGCCGCCTTTGTCTCCCGAGTTACGATGTTTACACATCGCACCAGGTACTTGAGGCTGAGTAAACCTAGGGGAAACCCATGACCTGTTCAGGCTGGAACTATTCAATCCTCTAGTGCAGGGGCCCGGCAAACAAAATAACAAGGTGAGCTATTTTGTTTTAATTGATTTCGGAATAAATTATAATAAAAACCCTCAATATTTCAAGAGGCGCAATGCACTGGTTGGTGAATACGAGACACGGTGGTGGTGGTCCTTGATAAATAACTGCGATTCTTGCCCATGGGCCAGAGTAAAAATTTGTAACACCTAAGGTGAACACATTTTTACAGATGTATTTATATAACAATCGTTTTTTTTACCCTTTCTGCCAATAACACTGTACGGCGAGTGAGAGTTAATTATTTTACAATCCGCACATTTAAAAATGCCCATCGCATGATTCACAGTTTTTTGGCGAACACAGCGAAATTGGAACCGCTCATACCACCTCTGATGGTGCCGACGAGTTTAAATATCTGGTGTGGGCCCACGGGTCAACCTGATGGGTGCGATAGCATCAATAATAGGGTGGCCAATCAATGTTTACCCATTACAGCCAAGCATGGTTGAAAGCATTTATGTATTAACGTTTGTCGATTCGCCCGTAAGGGACCGTCCATAAATGACGTCACGCGATTTTGGACGATTTTTGACCCCCCCCCTCGTCACACGGCGTCACAAAAAGTCAGACCCCCCCCCCCTCAAATATGACGTCACAAAGCTCTGCCCCCCCCCCCCCAAATATATTAAACATGCTTCAAATCGCTTTAAACTATTGTCATTGTAGTGCGTATTTAATGTGGCGCTGCACTCTGATCTTGTAGAAGAAAACATTTATTAAAAAGTCTATTTTATTAAGTAGAACGTGTTGTCTATATCTATTTAAAATTGCGCATTTGTCAAACCTCCCCCCCTCGTCACACATCGTCACAAATGTCTGACCCCCCCCCCCCCCCCAGGTGCGTGACGTCATTTATGGACGGCCCCTAACAAGAGGGCGTTGCAACTTTCGTAAATATCAAGTCAATAGTGGTCAGGCCAATTCGTGTAAGTGTAAAGTTGTGTTGTCCTTAGGAGCTTCGGAATCTGAATATTTATTTAGACTGGAGGAGGAATCCGATGAGCTATGAAGCTCTTTTTCACTGATGTCCAGTCGGCTCTTGTGGGCAAGTTACAACAACAAACAACGCGCAACGTAAAGGGTGCCAAGTATAGGAGAGGTGAGCACGATAAGCCACTATTAATAGATACATATCTACAAGTCTACAAGTACGAATTGCATTAGCACGTACATTTCTGCCAAATGTTCAACGCCAAATGCAAACTTGGGGCAAGGCAGCAAAGCAGCAACAGTCACAGACCACACCAAGACGACGCCGCACAGCGGAGCCCCAGTTACACTGACATGTGACTGCCGATACACGGGCAAGGATCACAGTGACAAGTCACATTTTGCAAATCGTGGTTGTTGTTATCCAGCACCAACTTAACCCAGAGAGAAAAACACAACGCTTGTCGATACAAACCGTACTCACAACAAGACCCAAAAAAAACCCTTTGCAAACGAGTTTAATTTCTCGGTCGTCACGATCGCTGAAATGTAATTTGATTGGTCATTCAAGCTGACAAGGATCACAATGAACGTGTCCAGGAAATGCCGACGATGCGTTTTTTGACACAACCCCACACGCGCCGTGCCTGCTTTCGTGATCTTTTAACGCACTTTCTAGTGTCGCTCGAACCTCGTGATTTTTTAAAAAAATGAGTTTTCACCGTCGTTTACGAGATACGACGTTAGATCAACGTCGTCGTGATCTACCTACGCGACTTTATTTTTCTACCTACGTGACTTTACCGAAAGAACCAAAGAGTATGACATCCTTGTGTTTAATAGAATTTGAATGTTGAGCTGATATTTGATGCACCCATTTTTTTCTGTTATTAATCCAGTGGGCCACCTATGATGGCACGCGGGCAAGATAACAGCACGATGGGGGAAAACACGATGTGGGTTTTTTGTATTTATTTTTACAAATAACACATTTTGCAACTCCAAAGTCTGACATCAATCAAATAAAACATGCACGAGAACATCACAATTAGAGCTGCAACCTATCCCAGATGTTGCATATTCATGATCACTATTGCTTTTCAGTGGCTTCTTCGTGATCCCGCGTTGAGTAGGCCACAAAGTCCAGTTAGACGCAATATTACATGCTGTGTTAGATAACTGAGTAGAATTTTGCGACTTCAAGCAAACCTGTGTAGCTGTTTTTTTTTAATTCTCTTTGTTTACATTTCCAAACTCATTAAGGCCTTGGCCTGTGATAGTTTGGGTAAACTGCATCAATTTCCAGTGAGCGAATTGTCCTTTTCATGGTCTACAAAGGCCAAGCACAATGGTACTTGCTATTCATAAGTTATTCCCATAATTCTGGGATTGAAATCACGTGATTTGAAAGCACGTGGTGGAAGTCAGAGAAGTATTTCCTAAACCCGGCTTGGCCATGTGATTGGTTGGTTTGTGCCCTAAAATGTCATGTTATTTTTTTCTCCATATTTGACCCTTCGTGAACCACTTGTAGACACGTCCGAGAGGCGGCGAATTGGCTCCGGAATTCTTCGAGTCACCTGTATCACCCGTATCATTTTTGATGAGAATTACCGTGGAGGGCATCTTCCACCAATTAAGAATTTAATTAGCTTTGCTAAAAGGCTTAGGTTTTATTTTGGCACAGGTATAAAAAAAACACTTGGGCAAAAAATGGTATTTTTTGCATTTAAGTAAACAGGTTCCGCTCATTTTGTTCCCAACAGCTGGTCCGGCTTATATGAAGATGATGATGTCCCCAAGTTGGGCTCTCCGGTCAAGAAACTCTGTCGTGTTTTCGTGGCTTGAATGGCAGGTTTTTTTTACTTCTTAAAAGGTTGACATCTGGAACGTGCTTCTCCGAATCTTCTTCACAAACAACAGCTTCATTCCTGCCGGGGTATAGACACAAATACATGTAAAATAAAATAAAACAATAGGAAAGACTTCTGGATTATGTAACGCTTCCTACAATATATGTGTTGTCGGAAGTCTTTAATTATTTGTATGGAAGCCGATGGGCGGACAGCAAGTTGCTTCACGCATTTCGCAATTCAATTTGTGGCCGGGTACTTTGTCAAGAGAGCGACTGCCGCGATAACGACGAAGCTTCACGCTGAACATCTCCGGTTCGTATCGCACGAGCGGTTTCTTAACGAGCGTCCACGTGAGCCTACCACACCCCCCCCCGCCCGTAACGGATACAAGATCCAGACGCGCGGGCAGACCAAGACTAAACAACGCACAAGCGTCGCCTTCAACCCCAACAGGAGTCGCGTCCATGAACTCCCCCATCCGATAAGGGGCCGTCCATAAATGACGTCACGCGATGTTGGACGATTTTTTACTCCCCCCCCTCCCTCGTCACACGGCGTCACAAAAAGTCAGACCCCCCCCCTCCAATATGACGTCACAAAGCTCTGCCCCCCCCCCCCAAAACCATATTTCCATTTTGAAAATAAAACATGCTTCAAATCGCTTTAAACTATTGTCATTGTAGTGCGTATTTAATGTGGCGCTGCACTCTGATGCTGTAGGAGTGTTGTTATAACAATTCTATATTTATTTAAAGTTGCGCATGTTGATGTGACGTCACATTTCTCACCCCCCCCCCTCGTCACACATCGTCACAAATGTCTGACCCCCTACCCCCCTAGGTGCGTGACGTCATTTATGGACGGCCCCTAAACCCAAACCCAAGCCGATCCCAAATCCACGCCGCCGCATTCCCTGCCCGCCCACCCAGCAGAGTGCGCGCGCTGTGTGTGGGGGGGGGGAGCGGTGGCGCAGCGGTTAGCGCGTCACGCTGCAGAACCCGGCGAACCCGAGTTCGAGTCCCGCTCACGGGGTCGACACCGGTGACGGATCATCTGATATCCGGTCCCGGGCCTCACCTAGGTCGACTCAGCCTCGAATGAGTAACCTGGTGCGGTGCGTGAAAACATCGCCACTGGGGGAGACAAAGGCGGCCGGGGGTGGTTGCTGGCCACCCAGCCCCTCCGTGTACCGTTCCGGCCTTCATAGGCGCTTGCTCGCTAAGAGCACTTGCCCCTACAGTCCGTGAAGGCTACACGGGGGATTTGTGTCTTTGGTCTCCCCTCCCCCTCGTCACCCCTCCCCCTCGTCACCCCCCACCCTCACCCCTCCCCCTCCTCACCCCTCCCCCTCCTCACCCCTCCCCCTCGTCACCCCCCACCCTCACCCCCCTCCCCGCCTGCCCGGCTCCTCCTCCCAAGCCGCCACGTAGGCGGCTGCGCCATATTTTCCTCCCCCCCGCTACCCACCACACCACCACCTCTACCACTACCACCAACACCGTAACGCACAGTTCGCCTGTCCGCCTGTCTGGCTGTGTGTGTGTGTGTCTTTGCCTGTGCTGTCCGTACGATTGTTTTTTTTTGCTCGCGTTTCAAGGCTGCGTGGTTGTTTTAAGTGGTGGCGTGTGCGTTTAAAGTGTGCGTCCATCACTTTATCACCCTGCTCCGACTATCACTGACCCCAGTGGCTTCTTATCAGCTGATCTGTCACTTTTGATAGCAGCATCAGCAGCGGCAGCGGCGGCGGCGGCGGAATCATGAACGTGTTTAGGCTTACGGGTGACCTGTCCCACCTCCTCGCCATCATCATCTTGCTCATCAAGATATGGAAGACGAGGTCGTGCGCTGGTGAGTTCGCAACGCGTCGGGTCGCCTTCTCCCGTTACTTGCGCGGTAGTTTGCGGCGCTGGCGAAGGTAAAATTAATTCGTCGCTGAATGGGGAGACAAAGGCGGCCCGGCGTGGTTGCTTTGCTGGCCACCCACCCACCCATAGTGGGGCCGTGCAGGCCTTCAGTAAGTGCTGCTCGCTTCACAGCACTTGCCCCCACAAGTCTGTTAAGGCTACACGGGGCCGGGAAAGTAAATTCATTCAACTCGACAATCCACGATCAATCATCGCTCCGGGGGGGGGGGGGGGGGGGGGCGCGGGGGTCGATAAAATAGGTACCGATTTGAAGACAACGGTGTTGGTTTAGCTAACCATCCCCGGCCATGGCAATGTGGAATTTCCACCCCGAATGTGGCTTGAGGGCCATTCCGAACGAGATGAATTGATGCTCGCGTGCTTTTACGATGCAACTTCCAGGGCAGTCCCGTGGCCGACATCTTTCGCCATAGGGGCAGGCAGGGCAGGTCGCGTGCGGTAGCCTCAAGTTGTGGGTGACTGGGGTGACAGTCTTGTCTCTCACCCCCACACCTCTTCATCCCAAGGCGCGTGGACAGACAGCAGATCTTACCCCCATGACAGGATATAGCCGCTGACACGGTATACTGTATCACTTTGCTGCAAGTGTAACGGTGGTACGTTGGGAGTTGCACTGCAAACCAGAATAACCTCATCATGTGCCTCTAATATTTAAAAGTGGTACGGAAATTGTTGCGTTGCCATTTCGTGTTAGAAAAAAAAACCCGTGTAAACGAGTGCAGTTGCTGTGTTAACTGCTGGAGGCGTGATGTGTACACGTGTAAGGTTTTGCATATCGCGGGGGGGGGAGCGGTGGCGCAGTGGTTAGCGCAGCGCGCCGTCAAGGAGGGGGGTGCTCAGCTGGCCCCTGGTCCATCTGCCGTGGTTCGTGACGTTTTCATTGAGGTCAGAGCGAACGAACTCGGCCCCTGCCGCAGTAACGTGGACATTACCGCCACAGGCCTCTGAGAGGACCGTTATTTTGCTGGAACCGAGTCGGGGACGCTGACATTTGACTCAACCACCTCCCACGTCTCCCCCCCCGCCTAACGCTGAACCAGCGTGGTGAAGTATGGCCTTCTTCCAGCACGCGGATTGACAAAGGGCCGCGTACATCACATTGCAGTTTAAATCACGAGGGTCTTGTTTTTTTTGGGGGGAGGAGGGGGGGACGTCCAAGCCGTCTTTGTCTCTCCGGGCAAGGCAGTAGGAATAGATTCCGAGTCGACTGTCGCTTGGAAACTGGCTAAGCGGGTTTAGTTTAATGTGATTTTGCTGTCCGTGTGTGTATGTAAACGTGTGCATGTAAGTGTGTGGATGTGTCTTTTGTTTTCTAAGTGCGCTCTTGGGCCCAACACCGGTGACGATTATCTGAACCTGCCCTGGGCCTCCCCGAGGTCGACTCAGCCTCAAATGAGTACCTGGTGCGGTGTGTAGTAAACATCGCCACTGGGGGAGACAAAGGCGGCCGGGCGTGGTGCTGGCCACCCACCCTGCCATGTAGCGTGCCGGCCTTCATAGGTGCTACTCTCCTTGGTTGGATTCAAGTTTCAAGTTTAATTTGGTTTTACCAAAATGAGAACTCAAGAAACCAGGATATAAACTGTTTATATATATTTTTTAAACTACATTTACAAGAGTGACTAACTTACTGACCTGGGCAGTCATAAAAATAACAAGAGAAACAAGTACAGCAGAACGAAGCAAATCAAATATTTTTTATGCACGAGGTGTAAGGCCCCACTGATCTATATCGCTCTTTTTTCAGAAGCGACCTGGTCACAAATGATAGCTCAACGAAAGTGGTTTATCATGTGGAAATGTATAGCATCAGCCAAATACTCTGAACGCACGTTGATTCGAAATATAATAAATGAACACGCACAAAAAATAATTGTGCCAGTCACACAAGAAATCGATAATAATAATATTGCACTAACATAAATCAATTCTAAATAATAAATCCCATGTAGCACAAGTTGAACTTCACCCAGGGATGGATAGGCCATATATCAGTGTGCAGGTCGACTGCTCTTTATGAGACAGGGCTGAAAGTAAGGGGATTGAGGTTGTTTTTTAAATCACCCCGTGATCAAAACTCTGACCCTGTGAGCCACACATGAGTACAACACAAAGACAAAGGTCTCCCGTATAGTCTTCAACAGACTGTTGGGGCCGGGGCTGTTAGCGAGCACCTATTAAAGCCGGCACGGCACAGTAGGGCGGTGGCTGCCCAACAACACCACGCCCGGCCGCCTTTGATGACATTTACACAACGTACCAAGTACTCAATTAAGGCTGAATCTACCCAAGAGAGGCCTAGGTCCGGTTCAAATATTGACCACTGTAACTGGTCGTGAACAGGAATCTAACTCGCGTGGCCGCTGGGTTGGTATCGCAGTGCGCCTCCGACAACTAAACACCCGTGGTTTGGATTTTGGTCCTCGCAGCACCACACAACCCAGAGATATTTGCTTTAATGGGCTACACCCTACTGATGAGGGTCACCCACTCCTATGGCTGTAAATTTGGAGTTTGCATGTTCTCATGTTCTCCCCGTGGTCACGTGGATTTTTCATTTCCACATTTCGAATTGACGTGTCATTCGAGTGTGTATGTGGCTGCTGCGATAAATGACCACGTGATAAGTCACTTTGTTGAGCTGTCAATCATGGCCTGGTCGCTTCTGAAAAAGAAGAGCCGTACAGCTCGGTAAGCCCTTACCTGGTAAAATAAAATAAAATAGTTTGGTTTACATTCTATGAGTGGTGGGTTTTTTCCGGTTTCTGCCTCCCATGAATCCAGACCCTCATCAGTGGCATTCGTGACCACACGTCGACAGTGTAGCCGGGGTCCCTTCGAATTTACAGTCGGTCCCACTATCAGGCCAGATGGAGCTCAGCAGTGGAAGCGAGCGAGCGTCTCACAGTTGGAATTTATGCGAGTTCAAACCCTGGATAGGGCCGTGGCCTGCCTGGTTCGTAGCAGAGTGAGATTACCCCGTGCACCATTGCTCTCCCGGGATGATTATACATTTATTCACGTACATTTATTTTAATTTTTGCCCGTTTCATCCAGAAGAAATAATTAAAATACAACCAACGTGTACATCAAAATATATACTATATATCCCTATGCATACCAGCCTGTCGGTTTGGTTTGCACAGTGTATTTCTCATGCACTGTAGTATCATCACTACATTTCTGTCAATTTATTATTATTGATGGCTCTTTTAATAAAGGTATGGGGCGGTGATTGGCATCTAAATTAGCCACGTGGAGGAGAATGTAGGCTGAATCACACTCCACGTCAGCACAACAGCTGCGGAAAATATATTCCCCGGGGCGGCTGTGAACGTCTATGGTTTGATTGGTGTTTATGCTGATGATGCATCGATTAAAAATGCTCACGATCTTATGACGCGCTTAATCGATTTCAATTTTCAATTGCTCTTAGCCACTAAAGGCGCTCCCGTTTGCCGCGGGTATTTCTTTTGAGAGAAAAAAATCGATTCGTGTCAAATCGTCTAATCGCTCGGAAACTTGGATCGTTCCTTCCCAATGCTTGCAGGCAAATGAATGCGATTGTTGTGTGAATGTAAACTAAACTATAAATATTTGTTATTTTATTTTAGCAGGTAAGGCCCACTGAACTATATGGCTTTTTCAGAAGCGATCTGGCTATAACAAATGATAGCTCAACGAAGTGGCTTATAATGTAGACATATCAGCAGACAAGTATCTCTAAACACGTGTTGATTCTAAATGTGGAAAACCGGAGGACTACTTGACCACGGGAAGACAGAGGAAGAAAAATGCAAACTCCAAATATACTTACAGGCATCTGGGTCTGGATCGTGCTCACGAACTCATGTACACCAGGCGAGGTAGTTAACGTCTTGCTACCGTGCCACCCTAAGTTTATATACTGTGTATATGTGTTGGCACAGCAGGGATCTAAGGTTGGGGTTGGTGCCAGTCATCTTGGTCAACCCATGGCACCTGGGTCTGTCCCCTGATATGCCAACTGTGCCTTTGACACGTCACGTGATAGCCTTAAAATGCACCTAGCCTGGCACAAACGCTCTGGTTATGTCACTACCACTTAGTGGCTGCTTCTGTCTGTCGACGATGTGTTTGGCGTGTAAGTTTGTATGTGTGTAGGTGCATGTATTGTCTTTTACGTGTATGCAGGTGTATTTATGTAAGTGAATCGGAATCTTTATTTAGATTGGATAAATCCGATGAGCCATTAAGCTTTTTTTCACAGATGTCCAGTAGGGGAGTCAGTTACAACAACGTTACCAACACCGATAGGAGTGCAAAGCTTAGGAAATGTAAGTGGGTCACTAAACAAAAATTTTAACATAAAAATCAAATATGCAAGTACAAATTGCAAAAGTATATCAGTTCCCGCCGTATTCAGGATATCCTGCTATGACCCATCCTGGGTCAAAACAGACTGGATTGTATAAAAGAGCTCACAGATCCTTGAAAGGTCTGCACATAGTCCCATCGGTAAGCTCGTCCGGTAGGCAAGGCTGCATTGCCTGGGTCAAGTAGCCCACATTCCGAGCCACCGCATGCCCAAGCAGCTTCTGTTTGGCAGATAGACAGGGCTAAACGGGCGCGGCACGGGCTGGAAAAGAGATGGAGCTGATGTGGCACGGAGAATATGGATCTGAGTGGACTTGCCGATGACCGGTACCAGCGATGTCAAGATCGGCCTCTGTGTAGGAGGCTCGTGAAGGACGCCCCTGGGAGGATGGAGGCAGTCGCCCTCCAGCAACAACGGAGGACGGAGGAGCGAAGCTCACAACAACGAGTGGAACGCCAGGCAGATACAACGCAACAAGAGGGTATAGTGGGGGAGCACAGGTGGTGCATCTTACCAGTCATCTCAGTCAACCCAAAGCACCTGGGTCTGTCACGTGACCTCCCGCCAGGATCGAGCCTTGCTACACTTCACGTAATAGCCTCATTGTGCACCTAGCCTGGCACAGATGCCGAGGTGCGTCACCTCTACTTCGTGTCTGATGGCGATTATGATTTCCGAAAGTATATGTGCATATGAAAGTGTGGGTAAGTTCGTGAACGTGTAATCACACGTACGTACGTACTCTGTACAGTATTTTATTGTAGGTATATATTAGTAAATTGATTACTATAATGTAGGTGCATGTATATACGTGTGCATGTCTTGTAGGTCGACTCAGCCTCAAATGAGTACCTGGTTTAGTGTGTAAACATCCACTAGGGAGGCAAAGACGGCCGGGCGTGGTGCTGGCACTTGCCCCAAAATACTTTTCTGCCTAAAGGGGTGATATTTGTCTTTGGCATATCTTATATACAGTACTTATATATACTGTACCTGCATACACATACAGAGTACATACCTTTACACACACATCACATACAAACTTACAACAAGACAAAGATCTCCCGTATAGCCTTAACAGACTGTTGGGGCAAGCGCTGTTCGCGAGCACCTATAAAGGTCGGAACAGCACAAGAGGGGGTGGGTGGCTAGGACCACGCCCGACCGCCTTTGTCTCCCCAGTGGCGATGTTTACACACCGCACCAGGTATTCATTTGAGGCTGAGTTGACCTAGGGGAGGAGGCCCGGGACAAGTTCAGATAACCGTCACTAGCGTTGACCGTGAGCAGAAATCGAACCCGGGTTTGCTAGGTTCGTAGCGCGGCGCGCTAACCGCTCCACCACCGCTCCCCACACACACGTCACGTATACACTTAGACACGTGGCCTTGCTTAGTTTGCTCCCTAGGTGGCGTCACCGCTCTCCGACTCTCACGGTCTGACGTGGCAACTCTTCTCAAAGGCTTCAACCCTCAACCCACAGACAAAGACAAAGGATCCCCTCCCACTCCCCGTCCTCCTTGTCGACGTGCAGACTTTTTTGGGGCAAGTGCTGTTAGCGAGTACCCACATACACACACACATCATTAACCTTAGGAAAAGGTGAGCAAGTGTTGTTAGCAATCAAACGTATCTGTTTTTTAAACACAGACGTCAAAACAGGAGATCACATTCACAAAATAATGTCTAAATTTGCTGAAGAGTGGCTGATTCAGTGCTTTAGTATTTTGTTGCATAGAGACTCCATCATAGACCGGTCTCCCAGTCTATTGTTTAGAGACACCATCATATACTGTATTGTCTAGAGACCCCCCTATCAGAGACCGGTCTGTCTATTGCATAGAGACCCAATTATAGATAGGTCTATGTGTCATATCTAGACACCCCCCCCCCTCCATCAGATACCGGTCTGTCTATTGTGTAGAGACCCAATTAGAGATAGGGCTATGTGTCATATCTAGAGACCCCATCAGAACCTATCTGGCTGTCTTATTGTCTAGAGACCCCGTCAGAGACCGTCTTGTCTATTGTCTAAAGACTTCATCAGAGACCACTCTGTCTCTCAACAATGTTGGTGAGATTTTCTCACCAACAGGCGCACACTGCTACACTTCACACGTCATACACAGTAGCTTGGGCAGGACACGTCGCTGAAACGATGGTTAAGAATGATAGCAGAGTGGCAGCCAACGAATGGTACGCTTCCAATGGAGTGATGCAATGAAAATCGCGTGTAGATGCGGATTGTTGCTTCGTGAGATCGTGAGATTTGGTTCCGGATTAGGGAGGCCTCCATCCAGCAGTGCATTGACCATGGCTGATAATGATGCTGCTGCTGTGGCAGAGACGACCACCGTTCAGCCGACGTTGGCGTGTGGTTGCAACCGTCGGCCCAACGTTGTCCCAACGTTCCGTGTTTCGCTGGGCGGTGCCTGCCAGTTGTTGGGCTTTGTGCTCAGAGTGGGGGAGAGGGGAGTGGGTCGAGGGGTGGGGGGGCTCCAACCCGGATTCGAATCGGCAGCGGTCGCCCCCTTCCTGGGCGACCCCGCGTGGCTCCGTCACGCGTTCCGATCTCCACGCCGGCATCCACCACCCCGCCGCCTCCAGGACCCACTCACCCCCCCCCCCTCTACCCCCCGACCCCGCAACTCTACCCACCCCCCACCCCTCTCACCTCACAAGTTCTCAATTGGCTGCAGGCGCACTTCACCCAGCCCAGAGGCACGGAGCCTATCGAGATGTGCAAAGTGCTCGCCAAGAGCAGAGCTCGGTACGCGGATGTGCGCGCCGCGATTGTGGCTGCTGGGCACCCCCCCCCCCCCCCCCCCCCCCGATTGACACGTCACCCCTACGCGGCCGCTGTCATGCGTGCACAGCTGTGCAGTGGGGGTGTGACGTGTGGTTCGCGGTGTGGTGCGGTGGTGTCTGGCGGTGTGCGGTCACGTGCGGTGGATTGTGGTGGAGTGTGGCGGTGCGTGCATGCATGCATGTGCGCATGTTGAAACATCTTTCGCACCGTACGTTGCCAACCGTAGGCTAATCGGAGGCGCGCTCGTGTGCGGGGGAGTATGGTGGTTTGTGGTGGTGTGTGATGTGCGGTGTGGTGGATGTGGTATGTATATAAATGACGTGGTGTGTATGCAAAGTGGCAGCAACATTTTTTGTAGTTGCAAATGCAGTTATTTATTGAAATAATTTTTATGCTTGTTCACGCAGGAAAGCAGCACAAAGTCTCACGGCACTTTTCAAAGAGGATTCTGCCAAGTATTTTGCAGTGGGGGGGGGGGGGTCGATGATAGCAACGCAGATTCCAATCGAGTAATTTGATTCGTTTGAATTATTTCTCTCCTTTCCCTCTGGCCCATTCGCAATATCCCAAACAGGAATTTCTGGGAAGAGCCAGATCCTCTTCGCTCTGGTGTTCACCACTCGATACCTTGACCTCTTCACCACCTTCATCTCCATCTACAACACCAGCATGAAGGTCAGTGATGCCCCCAGCTTGCCTGAGGATCCTACCTACGTGCGCGTGATATTAGTGTTATTATTGCAAACAACCTTTTTTTTTCTGATTCGTGACACACCACCACGGGAAGGGGAGTAGAGCCAAGGATGAGACGGATGGGTAAAAAGGACGTGGAATGGGAGAGGGAAGAGAAAGAATCGGAAAAAGGAGAAAAAGGATTGGGAAAGGAATGGAGAAACGGGAGCAGAGGGTCGGGAGAGATGAGGATGTACGCATGTACGTTGAACTTCTTTGGCACCGTACGTGGCCAACCGTGCTAATCGGAGGATAAGATGGAGGAGGAGGCTTCATTGGGGCCCCGACGCCGCTGCATAGAGCGGCGTTCGTTTTCACAGTGGGCGTCATGGAGAGGGAGGAGAGATCCAAGAGTGGGGTGGCCACGCAGAAGCCACGTGATTCACGGGAGGCTCGAGCTGAATTAGACGGAGAGATTTCGATTTCGTTCTGCTCGCTTACTCACTCATTCACTCACCTCCGATTAGCGCGGTTGGCTACGTACGGTGCAAAAGAAGTTCAACACACATACGCGCGTACACTCGATGGCTGACTCGATGGCTCGCTCGCTCGCCCGCGCACTTTCGTAGGTTGTGTACATGGCTTGTGCTTACGCCACGCTCTGGATGATCTACCACAAGTTCAAGGCGACGTACGACGGCAACAACGACACGTTCCGCGTCGAGTTCCTGGTCGTGCCCATCGGAGGCCTCTCGGTGCTCGTCAACCACGACTTCTCTCTGCTCGAGGTGAGTGAGGGCGGCCCTGGGCATCGCACCAGGGGGGGGTTGCCACCTTCTCCGAGTTTGGGTCCCTCACGCGGTCCGGGTGGCAGCAGTGGATTTGTGCCGAGGTGTGGCACCGGTGTTGAGTTGAACCCTCTTGCGGTATACTGCAGCGGTTTTGATAGGCGTTAGGGCTGACGGAGAAATATGTCCGGGGTTTTGGTCTCGGGGGGTGGGGGGGGGAAAGGTGTGCAATCATAGTTTGCAAATGAATGTATGTTGAACTTATTTGACACTGCACGTAGCTAACCGTGCTTATCCCAAGTGCTGGGTAGGGACAACAATCTAAACACAAAGCAGTTGTAAAGATTATGTGCCATTTTGCAAATGAAATATTTATGTTATACAATCCCTTATCCCTATCAGTGCCACATTTTGAGACGAAGGGTCTATTCAGAACTCTCATAGAACCTTGCAACGCTTCGTGTTAGAGAACGGCCCATGGAAGTGGATATAATAGAGCTACCTCTGAGATTCCTTTACACAGTAAAAGGGGCAGCGCTTTCCCACCCACTCTAAATGTACGAGTAATGTTTGTCGCACGACCGTCACTTGATTTCTCAGAGCAGACTTAAAGTGTAGAAACCACATTTAACGTCGCGTTGTTCATGTCATTTGTTGCCACCGGCTGCGACCATCAACTCACCTGACTTGCGGACCCGGTTTAATAGATGATGTCGATGACAATAACGACGCTAAAGTCCGTTGACTGCGCGTGGATGCCCGGCAGATCCTGTGGACGTTCTCCATCTACCTTGAGTCAGTGGCGATCCTGCCGCAGCTCTTCCTCGTGAGCAAGACCGGGGAGGCGGAGACCATCACCAGCCACTACCTCTTCGCCCTCGGCCTCTACCGAGCCCTCTACCTCCTCAACTGGATCTGGCGCTACTACTTCGAGGGCTTCTTCGACCTCATCGCCATTGTCGCGGGCGTGGTGCAGACCATCCTCTACTGCGACTTCTTCTATCTCTACGTCACCAAAGGTAGGGGGAGGCAGGGGGCGGCGGGGGAAGATACAGGACAAGTGTGGGTGTGCGGTGGCACGGTGGTTAACCCGCCGAGCTATGAAACCTTGAGACCCACTAGGGAGACAAAGATGGCCGGACGTGGTGCTGGCCACCCACCCCCTCATGCGCCATGTCGGCCTTCGTAGGTGCTACTCACGAGCGGCACTTGCCCCCAAAAGTCTGTTAAGGCTATACAGGTGATCTTTGTCTTTGAACTGCATCTGCATGATAAGCAACCGATCTATGTGTGGATGTATATATGTCTGTAAAACTCTGCTGTACGCCCAGGAAAAAAAGCCTTTTAAAACACCAAGGCTTATTTTAAGGAGGGCCCTGCTACATCGGGATACTTGGCCAATTCTTTGAATGAGTGTTTGGCTTTATGTAGGAGAACACCCACCAAGCCATACGAGCGGGTATACCTTGAGAAGCCCCCACGCTATGATCGCGAGTACCAGGGCTAATTCCCGGACCTGGGACAACATCATTTGACGGTTGTGATCTGAACCTCGGTCCTGCCTGTCCTTTATGTCAACTCGGCCGTACATGAGTGACTGCGTGCGATGGAGAGATGGGTGAACTGACGTCGCGCTCGCCACGGCGAGCAACGACAAGAGCAGTGCATGAGCACGTGCTGAGCTGTTTCCCCTCTCCTTGGGTTGCAGTGCTGAAGGGCAAGAAGCTGAGCCTCCCGGCGTAAAAGCCTCTCGCCACTCCGCCCGGCGTCACTTCTCCGACGCTGTCCGCACGAAGTCGCTGGCGCAAGGGTCAATACGAAGACTAGCACGCACGCACTCGCTCGCACTCACACCTTGGCTCTCGCGCGCTCTTTCGCTCTCTCTTTTCTCTCTCCCTCTCTCTAAAACGGGTGGAATATGCAAACGTGGTAACAATTCCAGAACAAGATAGCGTTCGAGTTGAATCCGTTGGCGGTTGTAATCGCAGTGCGCGCTCGAACGCTCCTCTCGTTGGTTCAGCCGGCTCTCGCCTAGTTAAGTAAAGGACGCATTCATTGACTCGGATCAGATGTATCCGGGGCGATTCCTTTATAGATACCCCACTGACCTCGGCTAACGCACCACCCATCGGATGCGGTAAACAAATCGGACCGGCCATGTTGGAAAAAGTGTTCCAGTGGAGGGTGTATTGCGATTGGTGGCAGACATGTCGATGCTTGGACGTGAATTATTATTTTTTCCATAAATTTCTTCCCTATTTTGGTGGGCCATCTATAAATGGATCGCCCCCGTATATACAGTTGGCGGCAAAAGTCAGGAACCACAGCGGTGTGTTGATTGAAAGCACGACCTGAGCGTGTTGTTGAGGTCCTCGTGGACTTGTTGAGGAATGTTCAAGTGTCCTGTGTGAAACGTAAGATGCGTGCACAAGCAATTGGTGCACAGTTCAAGCATCTATAAATAACAAACAGCAGGAAGGCACGACTTGATCACGTTGCCACTACATTGCATGTACTGTGCTCCTCAACCTTGTCTAGACCATCAACTCAAAATAGAGCTGAGAATGTGGCCTTATTATTGATTGCAATTCAAGCATCTGCTATAAATGACAATTCAGACTCTGGCTCAGACTTTATTTCAGCTCGCGAGGCCCCATTGAGCTACATTACTCCGTCGTTGCAAGGACAACCGCAGCCCAAGAACGCCGGCAGTGGTGGCAGTTACAAAACATTGCAATAGTGGGGGATATGCAAACTAACAAGGACAAAAAGACAGAACTGTTTCCACAACGATATATAAGCACAGACGTATGGTTCCTGACATTTGTCTTACCTTGTATAATATATATACGTATATTTGCTTCCAATTGTGTGTCCCCGTACTCAAATGAGTATTTGATGGTGCTTATTTGCAATGGCACGTTTTAAGCCAGTGGTGGAAATTCTACATTGCTATGTCAGGGACTAGCATCTCCACAGGACAACCACTATTTTGTATACTGTATATAATCATGATAGCGGTCCTTTATTTATCCAGGAGAGAAAGAAAAACACCTCGCTGAGTTTCACAAGGGTCTTGCTTCGGGATATTAGGCCAATTCTTTTTTGAGTATTTTTTATACTGTGCTATGTAATGAATGGTCAATACAAGTATCAGAATACAGGAGAAACGCTGTCTTATACATCAAAGTAGACAAAGCTCTTGTAAACTCATCCCAGTGCTTAACCAAACTTCTTTTACCATGCATTGGAGGTTTACCGCAGCCTCGATTAGAATTCGTATATGTAAACTTTATACGGGCCGTGTGATGGCATGCGTGACTTCACTGAAGCAATGACCGGTGGTGGAAATCGCACATACGTGGTCATACCCGCGTGAAGTTTACAAACGTTTTCAGGTTTACCACTACTTTTTCTGTTTCAAAGAGCGTACACGTTATACGTTTGCCGTGGAGCGTTATGGGTAGAATCGTGAATAGGCAGAACTCCGTTTCTGTGTTCTCGCATATAACTTAACATCACCTATAAAACTATGGCTTTTGTCATTGAACATGAGCCTCAAAGTCTAGATGGTGAGTTCTTGCCAATAACACGTGGAAATCGAGGGGCATTTGTTGAACGAGCCTGCCTCTGCTGATGAGACCCAGCAAATGGAAACCGGTGCTGAGTTCGGTTACGTAAACAAACTTTGCTTGGTAGAATTAGTCTAGGAAAGTGAATGGGCTGATGGACTAACACATTTGTAGTTATACGTGGAGACACAGGACAGAGTTTTGCGTTTATGTTCTATTAGATAGAGGTCATAAAGTGTCATGCCGGAAATGTTGCATGATGTATATTTCACCCCTTTTTAGTTTTATCATTTCAACCTTTGCATTTTTAAAGGCCAAGTGTATAGTTTTCAGATTGTATTATTATTAGAGATTTGTTGAGGGGGAGGGTGAGTGCTGAGGTTGGTATCAGTCCAGATGTTCTCTCTATATTTAGAGCAAACACATCACAGGAGAAACGCTGACAAATTGTCTGAAATCAACGGTAGTGAACCAAGGGTACGAGTGCGTGAACACTGTGAGCTTGGCGACGATCGAGAGAGCTGAGACGCGATGGCGCTTAGCCATTTCTTTGCAAAGAGCTGAGCTGCTCGCGCGATCAAATTTAATTGATTCTACGAAACTTAACAAGTCGGTACCGCCCACCACTATTTAATTTCACAATTGTGGAAATTCTGACGATGGCAAACGTATCGTAGTCATCATCGGTCTACCCCGAATATTCCTTCCTTGCGTGGTCCGACAACCGAGCCTTCGAAAACTACAGGCTCACCACCCACTCGTGCATCCCACACTTGGAGTTTGACACTTGGAATCGAACCGTTGTCGACCTAGTTGCTCACTGGCTCTGTCGATAACATGCCGACCTAAGTTGATCGTCCACCCATTGTCACCCATTGTCACCAATTGTCACCCCCCCCCTCTTTTTCTCAGCGCGCGTGGCTACAACTGGTCCCATGGGACGGCTAGGCCCCATCGCATGGGCAATCGCTCAACCGATCATCGTCGTAGGTGGCGCTGACGGTGACTCTCTTCCGATGTGTCGGATTTTTAGTGGCGATGACTTTATATGAAAATGCGCGTACTCACTGAAGCATGTGCATCCACTCACCTTGCCCCCAACACGCTCTGTTCATTACCCCGTTTCTCAGCGTAGTTCTTCCGTGAATTTAACTTGTCTGCATTATAATTTGTATTACTCATTCGAAATTTACACTCGCCCCTTCGCTTTGGACGCCAAGGCAGCAACTTGTAACACAGTATTAGAAGTTAGAACATTTCCTAATTTGTCTCTCTTTTAAGGATATTACTCGTTGCATTTCATCGCACAGTGTATTTTGTATCATTATAAAACTGCCGTTAGCATACAAATGGGTCTTAAGGACAAGCATTTTTTCTGCTTTGTATTAAAGTGTTCGATCACGGCACCCGTGTTATTTACAATCATTGCGTTGTTTTTTTATGTTTTTAACATTCGCTCCCTGATACCTGGGTCTGTCCGCAATTGTGCGTGTGTATGTGCTGAAACAAAGCAAAAGCCGTGCCTAGACGAGCCACTCGTGGGGATTTTGACTTTTGCTTTGACTGGTCGATACAGCAATGTGAAAACTTCGGGTGGTACTCAGATTCTAACTGTTGTGGAGTCTGCACAGTGTGGAAATGCGACTGACTGTTATGAGAGTCATACTCTGATTAGACTTGAGTTTTAAATTCCACTAATTAGTTGATAAATATCAGTTCTTAAGCTCATGACACACGTGTCAAATTATGAATGCAAGAACCAGTGGATTTTATTTTTAATTTGAATTCTTATTAGTTGCAATCGGTTTACGTGATTCATGCAGCCACTAGAGGCTGCTACATTGGCACCGTTTAAATAATAATTGATGATTCAATTTGGAATAGTGACCCCCGTAAATTGTGACAATTCATCGATTGGCTGGAAGGGGTAGATTGGAAGGTGTGGGATTTAAACGTGGCTTCGTGCCCAAACGACGACAAATTTAATTGTCACCACTGTAGGGGTAAGTCTGCGCATAAGCCTCCTACCGTACGTCACTCCCGATCGTCTCGACACACTCCCTGGCTCTGCCTAGACCAGGAGTCGGTATCCTGCGGCTCCGCAGCCACATGTGGCTCTTTGAAGGGCTGCTTCCCGTTACATTGCAGTTCTTCAAATATATTGAGGGGTTTTTTTTGTTTTTACCGAATTTACTAAAAATAATTTTTACTCTTGTTGTTTTGTTTTGCCGACTCCTGGTCTGAACGTGCTGATTTGCGTCGAGTGTTTAATATCGCGTTCTCGTCGTTATTTCTCGTGTCGTTCAACTCCACACTATAATAGCAGTCCGTCACTTTGTTTCAGCACCTCCACGGCCACCACAGACCCCCACCACCCGTTGCAGCGTTGAGTTGAGACGCGCGCGAGATGGGGACGACTGCTGGACGCCTTGCCTTGGATGTTGAACAACCCATTGTTACAAACACGAGTAGCCGCCGAGTGTACAATAAACATGATTCTTGCATAGTTGGTGCGTGTGTGTGTGTCAGTTTCAATCCACTGCTGGATGAGGAGGACACGCAGACCTACATGGCACGGGCAGGTCATTCTCGTTCGGCAATCGTCTAGCGTTGAGTACTGGACATTCCACATTACTATGGTGAGTGCTGTGCATCGTGAACCTGGTGTCCTGAAGGCGATTCCCGCTCACGGCTAACATCAGTGGCCAGTAATAGGCGGGCTACCCCACCCTCCCACTAGCTTCGCCAATCCTCACTGACCAGCGTGGTGAAGTATGGTCAAACCAACACGGGCACATTGAGACCATCATTCAGCAGTGGGATGACACTTTGAATTGAAAACTAATTTCTTTAGAATTGCTTTTGGTGTTTAGTTCTTTCCCCGCACCTCCGATTTGCACGGTTGGCTGCGTACGGTGCGAAAGAAGTTCAACATACAGACATGTATGGACATTGTGATCTGGAAGTGCTAAATTCATCTCGATCCGAAGTTATTTATTGCGGATAAGAGGAGCCACCCAGGCTTGTTAGTAAATTGACCCTATTCACCGCGTTTAACCGTAGGTTATTAACTATTTTCATCGTGAGCTTAAGGATAAATGTTAATCTGCGATGGTATGCGTCGTATGCACCCAGAAGCCTCTTTTTGTCACTGAATGTGTTTTCAGGGTCGCTGGGTAAACTGCAGTGGGCGCGAGCTGAGTAGCCCCAGCAATAACGAGATGTATACTGGATAGGGTGTGCCGGGCAGTGATATATTAATTGCCGGTCCACCGATCACAATCATAATATGTATTCTTGGTTATTTCGGTAAAGTCACGTAGATAGAAAAAAATACAAATAAATATTTGTATCTACGTGACTTTATTGAAAGAACCAAGAATATGAATTCCTGCAGTCACGAAAGTTTAAAGTCAACATCTAATCAGGATATGTGTGCTTGAGGAATCCGATGAGCTATAAAGCTCTTTTTCACAGATGTCCAGTCGGGGTGGATCAGAATATTACGACAAACAATAAAAAAAACCGATAGAAGTAAAATAGCAAAGGTCAACAAATTACAAATAAAACGTAACTATTTCGTATCTCACCAAGGCCCACTTAGCTATTAACGTATTTTTAAGAAGCGACCTGTCCACAAGGGACTGTCCATAAATGACGTCACGCACCGAGGGAGGGGGGGTCAGACATTTGTGACGATGTGTGACGAGGGTTTGTTCATGAAGCCATCCAGATATATCCAGATATATAAACATAGACATAACTTCAAACGAGAAGATGGATACAAATTGGGCAATCATTGGAAGGATGTTATTAACCTGGTAAAACGTTAACTGTTCATGGTTTCATCATATTTACCGGGCACTAGTCTATTCTACCGAGTCAATTGCATCCCCAGCGTTTGGCAGTGCTGATACTGTTGCTTTGTTGTCTTTCATTGGTGTTGCTGCAGTGGCGTTGGCTTTTTACACCATCCCCCCCCTCCCCCGCGTTTCTCCAGCACTAGTCTATTTTACAAAGTTAATACTGGTAGGAAACCTCCTGGTTACACCAGCCCACAGGGGATTATTGTGTCCGTCCGTCGTGCATCCAAAAATGGGAGGGGTGGGGCTGGGTGGAGAGGGGAGGGTGGGGAGGGGCTGGGTGGGGAGGGGCTGGGTGGGGAAGGTGGGGCTGGGTGGGGGGTGGGAGGGGTGGGGCTGGGTGGGGAGGGGCTGGTCACCCCGTGGTGCCCTTAAAAAACTCAACGTTTCACCTACTCACGCCGGCTTGTGCCCGCCCTCACAGTCGGGCATATTTGCGGAATGCACCACGTGGTGCCGTTGACCCTGGCCATTGACCGAGCAACCCAACGTTCCTACCAGCTCCCTCCGCAGGAATGTGTTTGCATCCCCAACGTTTGGCAGTGCTGCTACTGTTGCTTTGTTGTCATTCATTGGCTTTTTGCATCCCCCCCACCTTTCTAGCCCTGCCTACAACCCCCCGTCCAGCAGCATCCACGCAACGCCACCCTCCCCCTGCTCATCCCCTCCCTTGCTCCTCCCCCCTCTCTTACTGAATATAACCTCTTACCACAGCATCTCTTACCACATCAGCTGATAATGTTCTTGCTGTAGTTTTCACACCTGATGTGATTTAATTTATTTTATATTTTATACCTACGCGACTTTATCGAAAGAACCAAAGAGTATAGAGTGAGGGTTTGAGAAATGTGACGTCATATAAAAATGCTAAACTTTAAATAAATATAGAATTGTTATAACAACGCTAATTGTTATAACAACACTCCTACAACATCAGAGTGCAGCGCCACATTAAATACGCACTACAATGACAATAGTTTAAAGCGACTTGAAGCAAGTTTTAATTTCAAAATGGAAATATGGTTTTGGGGGGGGGGGGCAGAGCTCCCCACCCAGCCCCTCCCCACCCAGCCCCTCCCTCCCCACCCTCCCCACCCAGCCCCTCCCCACCCTCCCACCCTCCCTCCCCACCCAGCCCCTCCCCACCCTCCCCACCAAGCCCCTCCCCACCCTCCCCACCCAGCCCCTCCCCACCCTCCCCACCCAGCCCCTCCCCACCCAGCCCCTCCCCACCCTCCCCACCCAGCCCCTCCCCACCCAGCCCCTCCCCACCCTCCCCATCCTCCCCACCCAGCCCCTCCCCACCCAGCCCCTCCCCACCCTCCCCTCCCGCCCCTCCCCACCCAGCCCCTCCCCACCCTCCCCTCCCGCCCCTCCCCACTCTCCCCACCCAGCCCCTCCCCACCCTCCCCACCCAGCCCCCCCTCCCTCCCCACCCTCCCCTCCCCACCCTCCCCTCCCCACCCCTCCCATTTTTGGATGCACGACGGACGGACACAATAATCCCCTGTGGGCTGGTGGTGTCACCAGGAGGTTCCTTCCAGTAACGTTAACGTGGGTTGCCATGGGCAACACTGTCTAATACAGCGACGTCATCACGCAAATGCAACGTCATTGACGGCCACAACGACAACAATAATACGGCATTGTAATTCGCGATCATCTTCGAAAACAAAAACCGAATGTATTTTAATCGTCTCTCTGACGTCCTTTTTTTTTGGTCGCCCACAAAAAAAATGTTTTAAAAAAATCATCGGCGAAATGAAACCGAAACGTGACGAATGGGGAAGCCGGAATGAGGAGGGCTGGTGTCTGACCGATGTTGAAATTGCTCTGCTCCACTTCTAAAAGTGATTATCTCAGAGCCTTTGCCGAAACTCCGACATTCAACGAAACAACCACCGCTTTAAAGTATCGTAGTCCGCGCGTGTCGACGATGGCTCGTCTTCGCGGTTCTGTTTTATGTTTAGTTTTTACGTTCATTCTGACGGGAGTATCGCCGTGAGGCCTAGTGGACACGAGTGGACACCGGTCTCGGCTAGTTGCCATGCCGGGCTTGAGGGTGTTCGGCCGGCGCTGGGGGGTGGCAAGCGACGACCTCGTCTTCCCGGGCTCCTTCGAGTTCTTCGTGCGAGCGATATGGTAGGCGTTATTGTGTCATGTAATTGACGTTAATTAACGTTGATAGTTGATTAATTAATTTGGGATGTGGATGAAGGAAGTCGTGGGTTGATGTGGCGTCGGGTATTTGTGTCAATGAATGAATGTTGGATCAGTGTCATGGTGTTTAAGTCAATGTTGGTATTTGATTAAAAAAACGGGATTTGGCAGGAGGAGAGTGCTGCCCAGGTACGGGAAGGGGTAGTCAATGATAGGCGATGAACCCACGTTCCAAATTAAGGAGTGTGACGGTATATAAGTTCGTGTTTGAAGTCACAGTGTTTATTATTGTACGAATTTGGATCCGTTTAACACGTAGGCTTTCGCGAGCAATATCCATAATACATATTTTTTTTTGGGTTAGATCGCGTAAAATCTAACCCGAAAAAAAAACCTGTACAGTATTTTTGAATTTGGATCCGTCAGAAGATAGGACGCGATGCCCGGTGTGTGTGTGTGTGTGTTCAGAATTAGACAGTGGCACTGTCGGCAGTACATGTGGTTCATCTTGCAGTTATCTCAGTCAGTCAATGAACCCAAACAGTCAACACAAAAACACCTCTAGGGTCTGGCCCGTAGTGTCCTGCCAACGAGCCTTTCCACACTTAGCGTGGCCTCAAAGTGGTGCACCTGGCATGGCACAAGTGTTGTGGTGAAGTCACCGCCATTGGTGTCGAGTGGCGGCTGTTGTATTCGACACTGCACACGCGTACCCGAAGCAATACACGTTAGCGTTCTTATTACACTACTATGGCATCTGTCAAAGAATGTAAGCGTGGCTGGGTGTGGTGTGGTGCAGTGCAGTGGAATCACGGGGATTGACCAAGGTTGAATGCTTTTGTTTGTGTGGTGGAGATTTATGACCCAAACTGATTTCGTTATCTTCCTGGTGACACCTCGTTGCTTTTACGAGATGCCGTGCCGGCCTTCATAAGTGCTTGCTAACAGGACTTGCTCTAACAGTGTGTTAAGGCTAGACAGGGCATCTTTGTATGTAATTACTTCGTGTTACTATTCAGCTTAATGTTAAACATCGTGCCATGCAGGTGGATCGTGATGCTGGTGCTGTACACGGGGCAGCGCACCGAGCTGAGCCACTGCGAGGGGGGAGCCACGCTGAGCACCTTCCTGCTCGGCAACATCATCATCCTCCTGGCCGTGCTGCTCGTGCTTGCGTGCGTCGTGTACACCAGCATGCAGGGTGAGGAGCGTGCACACACAACGTCAGTGGGTAGCGACGGGGCCACTTTGGCTTCTGCTCGCCGCCCCCTGCTCTGCAGCTTGCCGGCTGGCGACCTGTTCCTCTCGTTCCCGATTGGAACTGCTCCTGAGCCGACCCACTGGTCGAACTCCCCGCGTTCCGACCCCTCCGAGTCAAACTCCCCGAGTTCCGACCCCCCTGGTCGAACTGTTCCGAGTTGCTCCTCCGAGTCGAACTGTCTCCCGAGAGTCGACCCTCCGGTCGAACTCTGGTGAGCCGACCCACTCCTGTCGAACTGAGGTTTCAATGCTCAGGATACTCTTTTTATGCCCAAAAATCCCTTCACTCGGATCCTGCCCACAAGGCGGGGTTTCTTTCGATTTTTGCTGTGTCAGGATTTGTCCGTATGTATCTGTGTCCGTGTGTGTCCGTACGTGTGTCAGTGTGTGTCCTTGTGTTGATCACCCACGGTATATTCCGTTGTCATACTCCTATCATAAAACCCACAAGTAAAACAATCAAATGTTATAAATTGTCTCGAAGGCGCCTCTCTGTCCGGGTGCACAACCTGGAGGGAGGGGCGATATTCCCTCCGACTTTCACCGACGCACAAAGAAATGGTTAAAAAGTTTTAAGTTAACATTTCATTTCATCAGAGTTCCATAGTTATGATTCTGTATTAATCCAAGGCCTGAGTCAGCTTCTCGTTGTGGTGTTTGACTCGTGTTTCCCCAAGCGTATACACACTCCTACCCCGTGCTGCAGGGATACAAAGACGGCCGGGATTTCCCTTTCTCTCCGACCCTGGGTTTAACATCGCCCTTTGCTTACGTTGCAGTTTTGCTGTGCGCTTGCATTTCTTTTCCTCTCTACTCTTACTTTCACCCTGCTTATTATTTGCGTATGGGTGGAGGCTAGGGCATTTATGTTGACTTAGGAAAACCTGATTGTTATAGGCTTCGGGTCAAGTCGTATAGAAATTATTAAAATATGTAAATACATTTCATATTAAATTAATAGACGGGTGATGGTTACATTGACGTAGCTTGTGGCAGGGTTCAATTGAAGTGGGTGTGAAGATCAATAACTTTAGCCTACCTTGTCGTTAAATTCCGACTTTAAGTTACTTGCTTGCGTGCGTCGTGTACACCAGCATGCAGGGTGAGGAGCGTGCACACGCATCGCCGATGGTGTGTTACGCGTAAGTGAGAGACGGGTTGCATTGCTGATTATTTTTGGCTCTCCGATGTGTTGTCGGGTTGTGCCGCGTGTTAAGCGTGACGTCTGATGTTATTCTCACTCCACGTGCTGGGAGCTTCTTCAGGAACTGAACTCTTCAGTTTGTGGCCCATCACGTGGAGCGAAACATCGCACATCACGCTGAACAACGCGCGGTACGACGGGAACACACATCGCAGAGTTACGCGGCACAGCCATGAAAACCTTCGCAGTAAATAAAAAATCTATTTTTCTTTTACGAGGTAAGACCCACTGAGCTACATGGCTCTTTTTTAGAAGCGACCTATCACAACGAAGTGGCTTATATTTCGATTTAAAGCTTTCGTGACTGCAAGGATTCATCTTCTTTGGTTCTTTCGGTAAAGTCACGTAGAATGAGAATAAAATAAAATAAAACAATAAAATTCTCACATTTCGGCCACAACACAAGTAGCCTTCTTCAGGTGAAGGAACAAAAACTATCAGGACGACAGAGCTTTAATTGTTATTCACGCCACTGTCGTCCCGACAGTTTTTGTTCCTTCACCAGAAGAAGGCTACTTGTGTTGTGGCCGAAACGTCGTGAGAATTTTATTATTTTATTTTATTATTTTATTCTCATTCTACGTGACTTTACCGAAGGAACCAAAGAAGATGAAGTGGCTTATCTTCGTGGAAATTTCTAGAAGTTAAATACAGATAGTCCCCGAGTTATGATGGTCCGACTTACGATATTTCGATCTTACGATGGCGATAGCGATACGGTAAAATTGTAAAATATTTTAAATTTCGCGCGGCAGGCAAACGCAGCTGCGTACGAGGTACGATACTGTACGTTGGAAGCGCTGCCGGAATGTACGCATCTCCCGCCTTTCTATTATATTGCAGTTCATATAGGTAGGCTAAGAATTTACCTTGTTTTTACTTTGCATTTTACTGTGCAATACAATATTGTAATTAATAAATACATTATGAATTACAATATATAATTTATACAGTACGGTACTGTAAATTGCTCTGTTTTGCTAAATTATCACCATTCTTTAAGACTCCTGGGTAGGCTAGGCCATCTTCGACTTACGATATTTTTGACTTACGATGGGGTCGTCGTAACGCATCTCCATCGTAAGTAGTACTCTAAACGCACGTTTATTGTAAATGTGCAGGGAAAAACCGGAGGACTCGGAGAAAAATTCACGCGACCACGGGGATAACATGCAAACTCCAAATATACAGGCACCAGGGTCGGGATCGAACCCACGACCTCCTGCACACCAGGCGAGGGAGTTAACAGCAACGCCTGATGTTTCACCGCACGCAGGAACCATCAGCCTTCCGTACAAGCGGCGACGCATGCCGAGCCTGGTGTACGCACGCACGCTGCTGTACGCACCCGAGCTCGTGTGGACGGTGCTGGGCTCCACGTGGAGCGTGCGGTTGCGGTCTGTCGCCGACTGCGGCGACGAAGCGCTCACCGCCATGAAGGGAGCCGTCGCCACCAGGTGAACGCGCGCGTCACGTGATCGGCGGCCGTGTTTCTCTGACGTTGTCGGGCCCATTGTTTTCAGCACTGTGCCAATCGGCTGCTGGATGGCTTCCCCGAGCCGTCACTATCTCGGTCATTCTCGCATTCCAATAATCCATCTAGCATTTGCGTGCGAGCCGATTCCTTCGCTCCAGCAGAGCAGCAGGCGAAAATATTTGGACACCAGCAATCCTGACCTCATCGTCTATCCCTGTATTTTTCCCTCGGCAGCTGGATCATCATGCTGGCCACGCTGGTCACGGTGGCGCTGGCGTTTGACCCGCTGGGTGGCCACAGCGAGGCGAGCGGTGGCGGCGATGGCGGTGGCGCCGACTCGATGCGGCTGCTGTGTGCAGCGCGTGGCACGGCGCGGCGCGTGTGGGAGACGCGCGTGCGGCTCCTGTGCTGTTGGCTCGGGGATGAGGAGCATGGTGGGGCCTTCTCCGAGATCGCGCGCGTGCTCAGCGACTTCTTCTTGGTATGTCGGGGGTGGCATTTTTATGTCGCACGCTTTGGGTATACACAGGCGGGAAGCTCATTTGGTTCACAATGATCGATTACTTTTTAATGGTGGCGAGATGTCAACTACCTCACCTCGTATACAGGAGGTTGTGGCTATGATCCAGACTTTGACGCCTGTGTATTTTGAGCTTGCATTTTCTCCTCGTGGTCGTATGGATTTTTGTCCGGGTCCTCCAGTTTTTCCTCCACATTTAGAAACATGCGTTTATAGTATTTGGCTGAAATAAATTTCCACATAAGCCACTTCGTTGTGGTATCGTTTGTGGCCAGGTCGCTTCTGAAAAAGAGCTATATGGTTCAATGGGCCTCACCTGGTAAAATAAAAAAAAATGTTTAGTTTTACTGGGGGCTTCTTATCTGATGTTTCCTCAGCCTGTTCGCGATTCTTCCCAGGTTGATCCATCAACCCTTGCTTCTATAGCGCCGGATTACAGCCGTGTTGAGCCACGACAGCCAGCTATGACTAAACAAATCAATGAAATTAGACGGAGCCTTTTGTATTGCGCAGAACCCTTAACCTTCATCTCTCTTCTCTCGTGCAGGACACGGACCTCGTGGCCAGCGACATCGCGGCAGGGCTGTCCCTGCTTCACCAGCAGCAGGACCGGCATGGCCCACGTGAGGTCATCACTGAAGGGCCTCTCTCGCTCATAGCCCACCCGGTGAGACTCGTGCTCGCTCACTCGCTCCCTCGCTTCCAGCGTTGTCCGCTTACCAGTTCGTCCGTAGTTTCGTCCCTTTTTGCTTTTTGTTGATTGCTTGACAAACGCGTTGTCTCTCTCAATCGTGGTCCGACTGGTCAGGCCCTCGCTCGCTCTCTGAGTTGTTGCTCGGTTTGTTATGCTGTTGTCCGTCTTGCTCAGTGCCCATCCTGTAAAGGCACATGCTCGCTCACTCTTTCGCTCGCTCTCTCGCTCGCCTCTGTTGTCGGTTCATTTGTTCTATTGTTCGTTTATTGATCATTTCAAACGTCCGTGCATCATTGCCCTCAGTTGTATTGACATCAGCTGCTGATGATTTAAAAGAAGACGCAATCTCTTTTCACCTTCTTGTGCCCATGGGAAAGGGATGTATCCGATGGACGGAGAGTATTGTAAATGCAACTGGGTGGACAGTATTAAAGGAATGTTCTAGAAAAGCACAAAATTGCAGAGAGCGGAGTGTCAACATCATCATCGAGGTCGTGAATCCTCATCAATGAGTAGAACGTATGTATGTATGTTGAACTTCTATCACACCATACGTAGCCAACCACGCTAATATGAGGTGCTGGGGAAGGACAACAAACTAAGCACAAAAAGCAGTTCTAAACAAATGAGTTTTCAATCTCGAATTTAAAAGTGCATAGCTCCCAGTGGCTTCCTACGGCAAAGGGAGCTAGAGATCGCGTTTCGGTTTCAGCGTGCGCATTGTGCACCTAGCCTGGCGTGGGCTCGTAAGCCGGTGACTTACGTCTGCGTGGTTCCCCATGTGGTGCGGTGCAGCAGGAGAGCCTGAGTGTGGAGCTGGACAGCGCCGCTCACTACGCAAAATTTGCGTGGGCGGCCTATGGTTGGCCCATGTATGTCCTCCAGAATCCACTCTCCGGCCTCTCCGTGTTCTTCGAGAACTGCAGGTGGGGGTTTCTTCTTCTCGGTTCATCCCTTCCATGTCTCTCGCGCACCCCGACAGTGCCACGAGTCAGGATACATCATCGCAGTCAAAAGAGTTTAAAATCTTCCAAGTGAAACACCGTCGACGCTGCCATGCGTGGCGAGACGTAATCACACGCGACTGGTATGCAGGAGGTCATGGGTTTGATCCCGCCTGTATATTTGGAGTTTGCATGTGTCTCTCCCCATGGTTGCGCGGATTTTTCTCCGGGTCCTCCGGTTTTTCCCTCCACATTTAGAATCAACATGCATTTAGAGTATTTGGCTGCTCTAAATTTCCACATGATAAGCCACTTCATTGAGCTATCATTTGTGAAAGCTAGGTCGCTTCTGAAAAAAGAGCTGTATCGCTCAGTGGGTCTTACCTAGTAAAATACAAATAGTAGCTGTGTTTACTGATGGTTAGCACAAGTTACTTGCGATCCGGATGGGTGCCGGTTCGATTTTATCTCCCAACGCGGCAGTTTAAAATAATGGGCAAGTTTCTTAAACCCCCTCTCCCTCCTCTGCCCACCCATCAGAATAAATAAGTTCACCACATGTTATCGATCAGCAGGTCGTGTGTGGTGGGGTAAAGTGTGGGTACTCCCACCTCTTCCAAGACAACTGGCCAGTGTAGGACAGAAGGCCAAATACCCTCTAGAGGGGGCTCACTGGAGCTCCCTCTACTGGACGTCTTTCCACCAGCAGTGATGTGAGCATGCAATTGCAGGGCTGTCCCTTTACTTTTGAAATGTTACGCACGAATCCAACAATGACTCAACAAATCCTTAAACCAGGCGTATTCATACGTGCGTGCGTGGGTGGGTACGTGCGTGGGTACGTGCGTGCGTGCGTGTCTGCATGCGTGGGCGTGTGCGCATGCAGCTGTAGGCGTGGAGGACAGCAGAGCGCCGAGTATTCGTTGGTCGGCGGTGGCGATGGCGGTGACGGTCGCAACATCGCGACTGTGCTGCGCGTCACGGGCCTCTGCAGGAGCGACCTCATCCACGTCAGCTTCCACAACGCGGTGAGCGCAGCCACGGTTCTATCGTCTCTGTACGATATCAAAGATTCAACGATCGACCGAAAATGTCAATCGACTTCTTTTTCGTGGTCGATTACTCGGGGCCACCTTGAAAAAAGGCGCCCTGCCTCCCGAAGCTGGCAAACCCTCCGACAAGCCATGCCCAGCGTGAGGCGGCTGATAATGTTGAAGACGTCGTCAAGCGTCGCCCGTCACCTCTCGTGTTGTCTCCTTAGTCGAGTAATCAAACACATAATCGGTAGAGGAATCGATTACTTGAATGGACAGCCCAGCTTGAGAAAATTCAGTTTCAGTAAAGACCGTGATTTGGGTAGATTGATGATGGTGCAGTGTTTATAAAACTATGGTATAAATCCGACGACCTGAGTTCAATTCCTGGCCATGGCTAACATCATGTTATTTCCGTGACTTCTCTCAAATGTTGATCATGTTGCACGGTGAATAAGAGCTCCTAAGCTATAGCCGTGAGAGATAGTGACGGCATGGGAAGGCCTTCGTTCAGCAGTGATATTGAGCGCGGCCGACGACGAAATCTTTGTTGATGCGTTTCGCTCTCTCACGCAGGTTTACCAGATCCCGTTCTTCGTGGCGCTCGATCACGACATGCAGGCCGTGGTGGTGTCCGTGCGGGGCACGCTGTCGCTGAGGGTGCGTTCCCCCCCCCCCCCCCCACCATCCACAGTCCCACCGTGGCAAACGCCCGGTTCACACAAAGTGCGCAACACAACAGGCCTGCGACCAATTTACCCTCATTGCCCCCCCCGATCTCGTCAGATCTTGGTAGCTAAGTAGCAGCGAACCTGGTTCGTACTCAGATGGGTTTGCAAGGTGTGGGGCTGTGCAGTGGCGAGGAGACTGCGAAGTTGAGTGTTGTTACCTGCTCATACCCCCCCTGGGTTTTCTGTGTTTTTCGGATTTATGTCAAACATTCATAGTCTAGACCTAACGTCTGACGAAGGAGAATTCATTGTGGAGTGAAATGGCGACACCGAATTGTGACAATCTATGAGAATTCTCGTCGGGCGAATCGAGAAACTTTAACCAGTGGATAGGGATAAGATGGGTGTCGTGATAACTTGTGGATGTAGTGGAGATGCACGGCGAGGGTTGCTTTTTTCTTGCATGCGCGTGCGTGTTCCGCATGTGCTTGTCACGTCCGCGGGGAACCACAGGACGTCTTGACAGATCTCTCGGCCGACTGCGAGAGCATGCAAGTGGACGGCCTACAGCAGGACTGCTACGCGCACAAGGTAGGCCTACAAGCAGCACGCTACGGCTAGGTGCCACCAAGTAAAACGGATGTCTTGTGCAGCCAAATAGCTCTTGTGGTTCGCACAAACTCTATGCACGATAAACCCCAGTTTGCCGGGTTTTGCATTTATCCCGACCAATGTCGGCTGTTTGAGAACGTTTGTGAAAGACGCGGTCATGAGTGTACTCGTTACATCACCTTTCAGCCATACTTTAGCACTGCAGTGGCAGGCTAAAGTATGGCTGAAAGCCACTGCCATGGTGGGGACCAGCCTCTCCATGGGACAACCGGTGTTGGCTCCCACAAAGTGGTACTTATTTTAGCCACTCACGGGAGATGATGTTACCGACAATGATATTCCAAGTTATGCATTTGTGTAGGATTTATCGTCAGGTGTGTGTGTGTGGATTTATAGGTTGTTCTTTGTCTGCATGGAAGAGCAAGACTGAAATGTGTACCACGTTGCTTCTATCTATGACACATTCAGGGCATGATTCAAGCGGCCACATTCATTCACCAGAGATTGGTCAATGACGGCATCCTGAATGAAGCGTTTCAGCATGCACAGGTGAGTTATTTTTTTTAACAAGGCCGTCAGTTTTTCAGTTCAGACCTTCACACGTGCCCTTCTTCAATGGATCGGAGCATTCATTAACTTGTCTTATTCGAATTAAAAATGTCTTTCTCCAAGTGGAGAAACTTAGCACTTTGCAGATAGGAATTGTTTCTCTTTTTCAGCCGCCACTAACGGCGGGCGATGACGATTCACGCGTTATTTTCACAGTAGCATCCCAACTGTAGTTTCGTTTAATTTCTTTAACGAGGTGAGCAGTTAAGAGTCGAGGATGAGCCTCATTTGCGAGAGTGACCTGAGGCATTAGTCTGCCAGTACCCGGGGCAATGATTGCCGCTGTGTCTAATCTCCCAATCGTCTCATTTTTGGGCACTTGTTTTAATTTGGCAAATTTGGACCCTGATGCCGGCATTCACGATCGCCTACTCTTGCGATGGCCTGCTCTTGCGAATGACGTCATGGGTATCGTTAACGTCCACTGTTCAGCAGACGGTGTGTCGTATTAGGTGCACCACGGTGGCGAGATGGTATCTCCCTCGCCCGGTATGGAGGAGGTCGTGGGTTCGATCCCGACCCTGACGCCTGTGTGTGTCTCTCTTCCCGTGGCCGCGTGGCTTTTTGTCCGGGTCCTCCTGTTTTTCCCTCCACATTTAGAAACACGCGATGAGAGTATTTGGCTGCGGTAAATTTCCACGTGATAAACCACTCCGTTGAGCTATCATTTGTGGCCAGGTCACTTCTGAAAAAAATATATACAGCTCAGTGGGCCTTACCTGGTAACATAAAAACTAGTTTATATAGTTATTAATAGTTTATTACCGTTGTTATTACGCCCGCGGTGTTAACCAGGGTGTCCGCTGGATTTGAACCGCGAACCCCTGCGCCGTCAAGCGGCGACCGCACTACCGCTTGGCCGCATCCACCGCCGAACTGTAAGCGTGGTGAAGTATGGGCCGAATAACCCCCACGACCCGCACGGCGTGGGGAAGCCCTCATCCAGCAGCAGTGGATGAACAAAAGGGCTGTACGCGTACATGCACACGTGGTGGGACGAGGGGCTGGCTTGTGACAGTGTGACCGTTTTACTATGGTGTGGAGCGGTGGCGTGATGGTTTAGCGCGCTGCGCTACAAACCCTGCAACCCGAGTTCGATTCCCGATTATAGCTAACACCAGTGAGAATTATCTCAACTGGTCCTTGGCCTCCCCTAGGTCGACTCAGCTTTAAATGAGTACCTGGTGGGATGTGTAAACATCGCCACTGGATAGACAAAGGCGACCGGGCGTGGAGCTGGCCACCCACTCCCTCGTGTGCAGTTCCGGCCTTCATAGGTGCTTGCTAGCAGCATTTTCCCCAACAGTCTGTGAAGGCTATACAGGGATCTTTATCTAACTATCTCAATGCAGGACTACCACCTGGTCGTGACGGGGCACAGCATGGGCGGTGGGGTGGCTGTGCTGCTCTCCATCCTGCTACGGTGCGCCTACCCCCGGCTGAGGTGCTACGCCTTCTCACCACCCGGCGGACTTCTCAGGTGAGCTCCGAGTTGGTGGATGGCCAGAGAGTAGAGTGGCAGAGAGAGACGTGTGGGCGACGGTGACACAGAGAGACGAGCGGGTGATACCTATTAAGAAGCCACGAGAGCTACGCACATTTAAATCCAGATTTAAAACTACACTTCTTTAGAACTGCTTTTTGTGTCTAGTTTGCTGACCTCCGATTAGCACGGTTGGCTACGTACGGTGTGAAAGGGCCTAAGGATATTTTTGCTGAATTCATACGCGCACACACGAGTATATGCAAAAACACGCAGCATATACATAGAACCGCCCATGCACATGCATCACACATATGTGTTCACGCTAACTGCACGGAAATACACACACAACAAAAATAGACGCACATACACAAAAAACAAAGTACCACCATATAGCTTTAACAGACTTGGACAAGTGCTGTTAGCGAGCACTTATAAAGGCTGCAACAGCTAGCGAGGGGGTGGGTGGCCAGCACCATGCCCGGCTGTCTCCCAAGTGCCAATGTTTACGCACTGCACCAGGTACTCATTTGAGGCTGAGTCGACCTCGGGGAGGCCCAGGACTGGTTCAGATAATCTTCACTCTTGTTAGCCGTGAGCGGAAATTGAATTAGGGTCGCCAGGTTCGTAGCACAGCTCTCTAGCCGCCACAATACCCGAGCACACACACTTATTTATACACACATACACACACACTTATTTATACACAAATACACATACACACACTTATTTATACACACATACACACACACACTTATTTATACACAAATACACATACACACACTTACTTATACACACATACACACACTTATTTATACACAAATACACATACACACACTTATTTATACACACACACACATTTATACACACACACACACTTATTTATACACGCATAAACACATACACTTATTTATACACACACACTTATTTATACACACATACACACATACTTATTTATACACATACACACACTTATTTATGCACACATACACATACACACACACTTATTTATGCGCACATACACACACTTATTTATACACACACACATACACACTTATTTATACACACTTATTTATACACACACATTTATACACACATACACACACTTATTTATACACACATACACACTTATTTATACACACACACTTATTTATACACACATACACACACACTTATTTATACACACATACACACTTATTTATGCACACACACACTTATTTATACACACACACATTTATACACACACACATACACACTTATTTATACACACACTTATTTATACACACATACACACACACTTATATATACACACATACACACACTTATTTATGCACACACAAACACTTATTTATACACACACACATACACACTTATTTATACACACACACACTTACTTATACACACACACTTATTTATACACACATACACACGTACTTATTTATGCACACACACACACATACTTATTTATACACACACTCAAGTACACCTTCACACACAACAACATCATTAGTAAATTTCATATTCGTGACATTCTTATGGCGGAAGGCTATCACGAAAGTGCTTTGTTTCACAGCTATAAACGCAAAACACACACGCGCAAACAAAACACACCGCGCACACACACACACACGTGTGTTGTGTACAGTCACTGCAACGTTTAAGATTGTAACGCCTGCGTAGAAGACTGATTTGCTCTGTCCCTTCCCATCCACCCTCCCACCCACTTCGCAGTCAAACACTGGCTCACTACACCCGCGAGTTCGTCCTCTCAGTAGTCGTGGGCAAGGACGTGGTGGCCAGGTGAGACCAGCTGAGTCCTTTGTGCACGCGCAGCCCTTCTTTCAATCCACTGCTGGATGAGGACCTCCCCCGCACTTATGCCTGTTGATTGATCGTAGTTCGCCGCGCTGCTCAATGCATATTGGTGGAGGCGGGGATCATAGAGAGCACGGTAGTACAGTGAGTTTTGCTGCAATGCCGTCTGCTGGCTGCCCACCACCATGTAGATTCGCAAGCCCTATGACAACCTGCTGTGCTTGGGGGGGGGATTGCCCATCCAAGATCAACTGCATCCATAAGTGTCTTATTTAACTGTGTGATAGTCCATTGACGTTCATTACCTATCTTGCTCGGAAGGCTTGGTCATATCAGGACACAACCCAAAAAACAAACATCTGTTTATCTTTTCATATATAAGCTGTCCTGGGCTGTTTGCAGCATCGCCAATAAGAAAAAAAAGACATTTAAGTGATGTCCCCGGGCTCTCTAGCCATATCACCGCATTATTCCATGGAATTCTGAATCATTATCACTGCAATAAAGGCACTTGAGCACAACTGACTATGAATTTCAAGCAGTGTCAGACAGCCCAGAACGCGCAGTCATTGGTGGCCGGGCTGAGACCATCAATTCGCTTGACTTGACGACCAGGGTTAATCGCGGGCGGCTGAAACCCAAATTCATACCCAGAATCCTAGCGGTGGCAGCTCGGTGCCCTAACCCCTGAGCCGCCCGGCCACCCTAGGACCCTGGTTTTTGAACCGCGCTCGATGGGAACTACAAACTCATCGATGAGATAAAAAAAACAGTGTGGACCACGAGCGAAGTAATGGGAAAGTGCTGGCAAAGAAATGCATGACTGCATGACATTTCTTTGGAACTCCTCTTTGTGTTTCGTTTGTTGTCCTTCCCCCCCGCACCTCCGATTAATACGATTGGCTGCTTACGGTTGGAAAGAAGATCAACATACATACATACAGTGAGAGAAAAAAGTATTTGATCCCCTGCTGGTTTTGTACGTTTGCCCACTGACAAAGAAATGATCAGTCTATAATTTTAATGGTAGGTTTATTTGAACAGTGAGAGACAAAATAACAACAAAAATATCCAGAAAAACGCATGTCAAAAATGTTATACATTGATTTGCATTTTAATGAGGGAAATAAGTATTTGATCCCCTCTCAATCAGAAAGATTTCTGGCTCCCAGGTGTCTTTTATACAGGTAACGAGCTGAGATTAGGAGCACACTCTTAAAGGGAGTGCTCCTAATCTCAGCTTGTTACCTGTATAAAATACACCTGTCCACAAAAGCAATCAATCAGATTCCAAACTCTCCACCATGGCCAAGACCAAAGAGCTCTCCATGGATGTCAGGGAAAAGATTGTAGACCTACACAAGGTAGGAATAGGCTACAAGACCATTTCCAAGCATCTTGGTGAGAAGGTGATAACAGTTGGTGCGATTATTCGCAAATGGAAGAAACACAAAAGAACTGTCAATCTCCCTCGGCCTGGGGCTCCATGCAAGATCTATCCTCGTGGAGTTGCAATGATCATGAGAGCGGTGAGGAATCAGCCCAGAACTACACGGGAGGATCTCAAGGCAGCTGGGACCATAGTCACCAAGAAAACAATTGGTAACACACTCCAGCGTGAAGGACTGAAATCCTGCAGCGCCCGCAAGGTCCCCCTGCTCAAGAAAGCACATATACATGCCCGTCTGAAGTTTGCCAATGAACATCTGAATGATTCAGAGGACAACTGGGTGAAAGTGTTGTGGTCAGATGAGACCAAAATGGAGCTCTTTGGCATCAACTCAACTCGCCGTGTTTGGAGGAGGAGGAATGCTGCCTATGACCCCAAGAACACCATCCCCACCGTCAAACATGGAGGTGGAAACATTATGCTTTGGGGGTGTTTTTCTGCTAAGGGGACAGGACAACTTCACCGCATCAAAGGGACGATGGACGGGACCATGCACCGTCAAATCTTGGGTGAGAACCTCCTTCCCTCAGCCAGGGCATTGAAAATGGGTCGTGGATGGGTATTCCAGCATGACAATGACCCAAAACACACAGCCAAGGCAACAAAGGAGTGGCTCAAGAATAAGCACATTAAGGTCCTGGAGTGGCCTAGCCAGTCTCAAGACCTTAATCCCATAGAAAATCTGTGGAGGGAGCTGAAAGTTCGAGTTGCCAAACGTCAGCCTCGAAACCTTAATGACTTGGAGAAGATCTGCAAAGAGGAGTGGGACAAAATCCCTCCTGAGATGTGTGCAAACCTGGTGGCCAACTACAAGAAACGTCTGACCTCTGTGATTGCCAACAAGGGTTTTGCCACCAAGTACTAAGTCATGTTTTGCAGAGGGGTCAATACTTATTTCCCTCATTAAAATGCAAATCAATTTATAACATTTTTGACATGCGTTTTTCTGGATTTTTGTTGTTATTCTGTCTCTCACTGTTCAAATAAACCTATCATTAAAATTATAGACTGATCATTTTTTAGTCAGTGGGCAAACGTACAAAATCAGCAGGGGATCAAATACTTTTTTCCTTCACTGTACATCATAAGTCAATCTTAGCCATTATTCATCCATAATAATCCATCAGTCATCATCATCGACTATGCAGGCATGAGCATTGAACACAATGTCCTTCCCTTCAGACTCAGCCTGTCGAACATGGAGGACCTCAAGCAGAGCATCATTCAGATCATCTCTGCCAGCAATCGGCCGAAGGTGAGTGAGCGCGCGCGCGTTGCTAACAAAGCACGGGGCAAACCTCGCCTGCCTGTACTGCTGCCAGAGGAGCGAGACGCCTTTGGCGACAGTGGGAACATGATCGTTTCGTGCTCATTGGTTGAGGCTTTGTGTTGTATTGGAAGACTATTGGCAGAGGTAGCGAGCCCCTTTGGCAACGGTGGGAAGATCATTCATTCTGTGTGAAAGAGTCGAGGGTCTGTTGTGTTACATTTGAAGAGCCATTTGCTCGCGTGCAGGAAGGCTGATTGCGTCGAAGGTTGTAGCCGGTGAAGGCGCAATGCCGTACGACTCTCAACAGCGTAGAAAAGGTAAAGGCGAAGTGCTGCAATTGCTCACGCCACTGCTGGCGGAAGGTCCTCCTCAAACGGCAGCTGTAGAGAACCATTCTCGAGGGCATTTGGCCTACTCTTCCACGCTTGCCAAACATCTTGGAAGAGGTAGAATTACCAACACTTTACCCTCACATTGTAGACTGCACAACTGCATATCTCAATTTTCGATGCATTTGCATGGATCCCTGTAATGCTTTTCAACGTACTATTGTTATCAGAAGCATTATAAAAAAAATACATATCTAAAGAACATCACCGAGCCTCGGCGGCAACCCTTGGCTCAATTTGTCCGATTTGCTCCTTGTTAACTCCCTAACAGCAACACAACTTCAATTCCTATTCATCATGGGTCGTCTTTACGAGAGTTGTCGCGACGCACTCCACCACCACCCCCCCCCCCCCCCATCGCTCCAACCCCTGTTACAGACCGATAGAGCAAACGCATCGACACTTCCTACCTGAGCTGAACTGGAAAGCGCGTAGAGGGGAAAAAAAAACAGCTGATGGGGCTTCGTCGTTGACGTGCGCGGGGTGGACCGAACCGTGCCGATTCTCAGTACCAGATCCTGCTGCTCGGCTGCTGCTACGAGGTGTGTGGCGTGAGCTCGGGCACGGCGGACGAGGAGTCGGAGGTGCAGCGCACGAGGCTGCTGCAGCCGCTGCTGTCCACCGGCGACCTCAGCGAGGACCAGCAGCCCATGGTGTGCACGGCATGGGTGCCGCCGCCCGACTTCACCCTCTCGCTGGCGCCCTCCTCCGGGACCGACCTGGCTGACGGGCCGCCGGCGTCGGTGTCGCTGGCGGGCGAAGCGTCGTTCATCGCTCAGCAGCAGCAGCTCTTCCTGCCCGGACGCATCCTGCACCTCGTCGACGACGATGAGGAGAGGGGAGCATCCACCGGCTGGTGAGCGCCATTGTCACGAGCCACCGTGTTGTTGTATCAGGGGCGGAGCCGGCCCCTGTGGCGTAGCCCCGTCGGACATGTGTTCTGATGCAAGAAATTCAAGTGTGTATGTTGAACTTTTTCCGCACCGTGTGTAGCCAACCATGCTAATCGGAGGTGCGGGGGAAGGACGACAAACTAAACAAAAAAAGCTATTTAAAAAAAATTTGCTTGCAATATAGATTTAAAAGTGCAAAGCTCCAGTGGCTTCCTAATATTGGAAGGAAGAGCGTTCCAGACAGCCTCAGAAAAATGGGGGGCGCACTCCCATGTTCAGTTTCCCTTTGCCTCTAGGTGTCGACGATAGCTATACCACTGACCGGAGCGTGGATTCGTTTTGTTCTGCCTTTGATGATGATGACGAGTTGTACACGGCCTTTCTCAAGTGTCTAGCCAGGTGGAGGATTCAAGTTGAAAACCTGGTCTAGGGAAGTAATTAACTTATCCAATCATCATGTTAATCATCTCTCAACAGCATCATAATTTTATCATTTAAATCATCATTATCAGCACCAATCTCATCGTCTTTTTTTCAGGGTCTAAAATAAGTAACAGCTCAAGGAAGTTGGCAGTGACTGTCTTCTGGAGAGACTCAATCATTGTCGCCGCTTTCCTGCCTATGAGAGCAGCTGCATTTGTAGATTTTTGGGAAAAAAACAGGCAAACACCTTTTTTCACATTAAAATTGCGCGGAGTGTCGTTAACTTGGAAAAAAAATTCTGCACCCGGGACTGCACATCTAGGACAACAATCGCCCTGGCCGCCTCCGCTAGTCACGCTGCCACCTTCTCCGGGTTCTACCAGCAACTCGGGAGACACTCATTGAGAAAATTAACCCCGCTGGGTGGGGACTTTATTCCTCAGGAGTTGCGTCGGGGGAGCGCGGCGCTTCCACGCCTGCTGGGAGGACCCCTCGGCCTTCCGCACCCTCCTCATCAGCCCCCGCATGTTCACCGACCACACGCCGCACGCCATCGCGCACGCTCTGCGCCAGCTCACCAGACCCGCTCCCGACCACCGCCCCGCGACGCCCAGCGGCATCGCGTGACGACGGTCGGTGCCGCACGATGATCTGAGGAGTTTCGAGGTCCCCGAAGCGCGGGCGGGGGAAAAACCTACGGCCAGTGGGCCGGAAGCGGGCCAAGGTCTTCATTTCATACGGCCCGTGGTGGCCGTGGCCACAGGAGGTCTACCACTTGGAAACGGCCTGTGAATCCGTCGCTGCAAGCATCTTGGCGTCATCACCGGTGGCACTGGAGTGGGAATATCATCTCGCTTCCAACGGCACATATGCTTCTGATTTTCACGCTCTCGCTCACTTCTGTCGCTGCAATGGCCTCCTGATGCTCGGCCGACGCGCGTATTCGGTTCGCTGTTCTGTAATCCCACCAGACCGCACCACGAAAGGATAATTCTGTCCGTCTTCTTCCGAACTGTGGCCTGGCATCTACACGTCCATGATAGGGTAAAGCATCGCATTAGTGCGGTAAAGATGAGCTGTAATTAATGTTTGCGTTATTGTGGGTTGACTCCGAGGTGTGCGTGGTTAACGTGTGGTTCCCCCCCACGAAATGCGTTCGAAATTCCTCTTCGCTCCTTGGTAAGGAAAAACGGTTCCCCGCCCCTGCCCTGTGCGTGCTTTACGCGCTCACCAATCTTCCTGTCGATCACGCGTACACGAACACGTGCAGCCCTTTGTCAGTCCGCGGCTGGACGTCGCTTGGGTCGTGAGCGTTATTTGACCTTACTTCACCACGCTTGGCAGTGGATGTGAGGGCATGAAGTTTGCAGCACTGCCCTCTACTGCCCAGCACAAATCCTAGAACGCCCATCCACGCACCCTCCAGGCTCACTCCAGCGTAGCTTACGAGTTTATTTGATCAGTAGGCCCTTTCTATCACGTCCCAAATTACCCTTCTCCAACGTCTTCCCCTAGGTGTAATTTTAAGATTGTATGCAAAGCCCTTTGAGATGTTTCGGCATTCAACCACTGAAGAATTGTAAATGCGTATTCGTCGTCTTGTAGAGCCACACCTAGGACTGTAGTGCCAGACTGTCTGGCACGAGTTTGAACTTTGTTAAGTATAAACAATGCTGATAAAAGTGACTTTCAGGCACGCTTCTGAAGTCACTGCAGTGACGTATTGTAAAGTACAGGAACGGTGCCATGGTGATGTCACCAACGTGTTTGTGGAAATTACTTTGAAGTGTTGTTTTTTTCTCATTAACAAAGATTCAAATTCGCGCTGGATTTATACTCGGTGATTAACAATCCATCGATTCATTGAGTAACAATCCATTGAGTAACAAGCCATCGATTCATTGATTAACGTCAGTTCGTATGTGCGTTGAATGGCATGCGTGAAAATCAACGCTCCTCAATTCACGCGAGATTATGTGCAAAATGAATGTTTCGTTTAGGCTTTTAAATAATAATAATTCCCTGGGATTTGGGCGTCGCTGGGGATCCAGCATTCATTACCCATCCCGAGTTGCGCTGAGGAGTCGGCGGTGGCTGGGCGTTCTCCTTGAGGTTCTGCAGCCCTTTGTGGCGGGGGTGCTGTCCCCACAATGCTGTCGGCAAGAATGTACAAATAATGAAGCAAACAACAACGTACGTCGGATTGGAAAAAAAATATATGCAAACTGAGACAGCGAAAATGATACGCGAAGATGTTCTTCAGACTGAGAAGCTTTCACTTAGACTGGAGGAGGAATCCGATGAGCTATGAAGCTCTTTTTCAGCAGTGTCCAGTAGGGGCACGGGGTCATAAAGTTCCAACAACAATAGAAAACAACGATATGAGTGCAAAGTAGAGAAAAGGCAAGCAAGTCACTAAAAATAAATGAATTGAAATGTATTAAGTATATAAATACAAACTGCATAATTACATACATTCCGGCCGATAAATTGCAGCTCCTGAATTTCGACGATTCGGGGCATTTCTAGGGCATGAATCTACTGCTATTGCTGGACCCCCTACTAACGACGCGATGAGAGCTGCTGGTTCTTTGGTTGCATCTTTTCGTTTGACGCGAGCCATTGCTTTAGTGACGACGATGTTGCCACCACCACGCCGGTAATCCGGAGGGCTGGCGGCAGCGGTTGCATGCCATCACGTCAGACGCCCATCTGCAGGCCAACGTGGTTGCGGCTAGCGTGGGTGGCAATACAGCAGGTGGGTTTCTGAAGAGCGAAGCCCGTTTGCCAAAATACTCAAGCCGACCGACCAATCGTCCAATGCAGGAGCTTCCTGAAAGGAGTCGAGGGCTTGAGCGAGACGCTTTTGGGGTAAATAAATAATGAACATTTTTACAACGTTGTGCCATCTGTTTCGCGGCTAGCAGTGAATGATAATTCAAGCGCTTGCAGTGTTTTTTTTTTGATAATCAAAATAACATTAATCGTAATCTCACCTGGATTAATAAAGGATACGAATCAGTCAATATGATTACAAATGCATTGCACTTATTGTATTTTTTTAAATGTGTGTGCGTATAATATAAATGTATATATGTACAATGCCCGTTGGCAATTATTATCACCGCCGTGTGTGTTATATCGTGCGGATGCGTCGATTATCTTTTCGCAATTGTTGACCAATTTTCAGGGCAACAAAATTTACATTACGATTATTTTATCAATCCTATGAATATTTTTTTTTTTAAATCGGGCTGCGCGTCCCTGCGGTGAAGATGACTCGTCCGCAGTGTGGTATGCCACAAGTACATATAATGGTGAAGTATCGGCTCGGCCCATCATGACTCCGGTGTGGGTAAAACATTTTGAGAGAATAATCTCCATCATGGCAATGCGGAATTTCCACCACTGGCTCGGCTATAATTAGAAAATAGCACGAACTGGTAGACACTTTTACAGTAAATTTGGCCATTCACGTAATCATAATTTCCATACCCCTTGAACCCGGATTTATGATTTGCCAACTGTATCTTCAACGTGAATTACTTTACATGTGGTCGAATTTAAATAGAAGGTTGTGTTTGAGGTCACAGACAAAGTACAAAGAGTATGAAAGTACAAAACGTTGCTTTAATCTGTTGATAAATAACAACTGTGTTTGATAGCCCATGGATCTCATTGGGTTTGTCAGTCTCCAATCAATGATCGCACCCATTTTTACGTGAAAATAAAACTGGTTTCGAAGCAACTCGTGTGCCTTATCCAGCCCCCGTAGAACTAGATGCATCTTAAAAGATTTACTTCAAAAAACATTGCATGAAATAACTCTCTTCGGGTTGTAGGTGTTAATTGGTCGAAAAAAATCTCGGCCAGAATAGTTGCACATAACCGGCTTTAGTTTCACGTGAAAAAGGGCGGCTGACTCCTTGGAGTATTTCGGTGCGATTATACTCCACTATAAGCTAAACTTTTTTTTTACATGGTAAGGCCCCAGTGAGCTTATATAGCGCATTTTCAGAAGCGACCTGGTCACACGTGATAGCTCGACTAAATGTGGAGGGAACAACCTGGAGAAAATCCACGCGACCGCGGGGAGAATAAGCAAACTACAAATATACAGCAGCAGGCGTCAGGGTCGGGATCGAACCCACGATCTCTTTTATTCCAGGCGAGGTAGTTAAGGTCTCTCCACCGCGGCGCACAGATTCACACCCGGCCTAAGTGGCCCACCGCCAACTTGTGAATTGCACCCTATGTGCCCCGTCGCCTACCGCATTCTCCGGAGTATTATAATACCATACGGAAAGTAAGACGCACGCCCGTACTTGTGCCCGCTGTCAAATAAAGTTATAAAATTCACGATTGGTTTCTTCCGGGTTAGATCGTGTTGAGTATACAGTAAAACATTGGATTGCGAGTAACTTGGTCTGCGAGTGTTTTGCAAGACGGGCAAAATTTTTAAGTAAATATTCATTTGATAAACGAGCGAGGGTCTTGCAATACGAGTAGTACGTATACGCTTTGTACTGCCGAGTGTCACGTGATCACAACTGATATACAACGAGTGCTTTGGATTACAAACACGTTTCCGGAACGAATTATGCTCGCAATCCAAGGTTTTACTGTAATGTTAGCGAGAGCTATGCACCATCCAACACTCAACAAAAGCCAAATAATGCATCCCTTGTCACGCGGCAATATGATCCGAATGTTTTACAGTACCCTTGAAAATCCCCAGCAGGATTTGACAAGTTTGTACAAAGGTTCCCCTGGAGCTAACAACAGGAATCGCCACTCTAGACAAAGCACGTACATGTTCTGTCCTCTGCCGGTCTTGCGAGATATTCTTCCTATGATATGTCCTGAGTTTTTGGACCTCAAGAGGTGGCAACCCCTTGATGTCACACGGATATTGTCTGAAAGACCCTTGAAAGTCATAAATGTGCCACTTAGGAATAATTCAAAGCCCAGGGGACAGCCCAGGTGTTTCGATGAGAGCTGTCTGCTTCGGGGTTCGTCTCGAGCGTGAGCCAAAGTTCAGGTGTCCCAAGTTATTTCTCGAAGCTGAAGGGTGACTTGTTTGCTCGTACACCTGTGTAGGTGTGTGTAAGTGATATTATCTCATGCGTGTTTACATACAGAAAGAGTAGTGTTGTTATCGTTCAGTTAAGTGAATAAAAACGCGTAAACGCTTTTGACGTGCGTGAAATATGTAATGACGACTTCGACGCCCCTGTCCTGGGAAGGATTTCTTTATTAAGGAGCCCCGTGCTCAACTTTGGACATTCGAAGACCACACTGCAACAGTCACCACGAGTCTCCCACGCATTTCCCTTACATACGGTGCGTGACCACGCCCCTGTCAAGTGGCCACGCCCTTATTCCAGAATCTTCTCGCTTGCCCTGGACGACTCGCGCTACAGGTTGACTCCACTGTACCATTACATCACCTGGCCACGCCCCTATTCTCGATCATTCTCGTGGCCACCACACACAGCAACTCAATACAGACAACTCAATACATGTGCTCTTGTCAAATGATTGTGACGGCACGGCGACTGTGTCGTGACGAGCAAGCCCAGCAGTGTATCGATGATCAATAAGCGAGGTGTCAATGGTCACGTGCACGTGTCCGTGACACTTGTTATAACCACGCTTGCTCCCGATCGTCTGTTAATACTATATAGGGGATATTTGTCTCTGTGCTACGTAACGCTTGCTTCCGATAAAAATCAGCAAAAAATCACGATAGAAAATAAACTCATCGTAACATAGTGCGGCCACAAGCATCCGCTTGAAATAACACGCGGACGTGTACACAAATAACTCGGAGGCTGTCAAAACAAGCTTCATGTTGTTCAGTTAAAGAAGGTAACTGTCTAGAAAGAGGCTATTAAGTGCAAGTGATTGCGGAAGTGCAAAATATGTAACTTTAGAAGCATTCACGCGGTTGGAAGCGGGTGTATTAATTGACAAATCTCGACAGAATTCGAGCTTGCTTTCTCAAAAGGGGGGGGGGGGGGGTGAAGCAATACATCATTAATATTTAATGTTATCATAAAAGTGTAAATTTTACATTAAATATCTGCTTTTAAAAACATTGCTGCAATCTTAAATGTGAATTTATTTCGTCTCAGGTCCGAAATTATTTCCGTAGTAAGGATACTCCAATTATAGAACGGCATTCAATGGGAAAATAAGGTTCGATATGCAGAATTTCGCTTTACGGATAACTTCAGGAACGTATCTGTTCCGTATATCGAGGTATGCCTGTTTTACGTAGACACGCCATTCTGTGGCGTTCGTGTTAATCATTAATGACGCCATTTTGCTGTGGTGTTTTAGTCGTGTTAGTATTATTGCGAGTGACGTCATTAAGCTGTGGCGTTCGTGTTATCGCGAGTGATTCAGCTGTAGCGATTGTGTTTCTGTGGCGTTCGTGTTATCACGAATGACGTCATTAATCTGTGGCGTTCGTGTTATCGTGAGTGGCGTCATTGTGCTGTGGCGTTCGTGTTTCTGTGGTGTTCGTGTTATCATCAGTGACGTCATTAAGCTGTGGCGTTCGTGTTATCGTGAGTGACGTCATTGTGCTGTAGCCTTCGTTTTTCTGTGATGTTCGTGTTATTATCAGAGACGTCACTGTGCTGTGGCGTTCCTGTTATCGTGTGACGTTTTTATCCTGCGGCAGCCAGCGTTTTCACGGGTGACGTCGGCCAAGGTATATATTTGACGACGTCACGGGCCGCCCGGCCAATGGGAGCGCGAGACGGTTTGAACACGGAGGGAGCCATGGAGGGCAGCGGAGACGCGGGTTTGTGAAGACGGCGATTTAAACTCTTTAACGTTCATCGTTAACGTTGATATAGCCATACAACTCGGTCGCGCACACTCACGGCTTGCTGTTAATTCGCGAGCGTCAACCTTCCAACGCGTACACGCGACGGCTATTTGCAGCTACCGCCGCTGCAGCCGTGTGTTTTGTAAGCGTGTGAGGCGAAGCGTCGGTCGATCGATCGGTAGCCGATATGATTATTATTTTTATCAAGGCGATAGAAGTCAGACAAACATCGGTCAGTGTCGCGATGGGCGAATCCCTTCGCGTTTGCAACGTCGTCGCGACCCAACTACGGTGCCACCCGTGCGTTTATAACGAACAGCGCCCGTGGACTTCGTTGATGACCGTGAGGCGATTTAAAGACACGCTTCACAGTAACTGCAATCTTTGTGGGGTTTTTGGTGAGGGGGCAAGCTGTCATTTAGCGGTCCCCGAGGATTAATCAACGATCCCTCGTGTAGCCTTAACATACTGTAGGGGCAAGTGCTGTTCGCGAGTTGCGCCTATGAAGGCCGGCACGGCACACGAAGGAGGTGGGTGGCCAGCACCACGCCCGACCGCCTTTGTCTTCCCACAGTAGCGATGTCTACACACCGCACCGTGTGCTAATTTGAGGCTGAGTCGACCTAGGGGAGGCCCCAGATAATTGTCACTGGCGTTGACCGTGAGCGGGACCCCCGTAGGTGCAGCGCGCTCGCCGCTACACCGCCGCTCGGCTTAAACACTCTCACACAAGCAGCCACGCACACTTCAGTCTTTCTTGAGATGTTTCGTTTGTCCACGGGCGCAATGTGTGTCACTTTTGTTCATAAGCGCGATGCTTTTACATTATGAGACCTCCTTTGCCAGTAACAAGATATAGGAATAGGTTTTACCCGTCTCGGGTGTGGACCAATCAAATTCAAGGACAGTGCATATTATTATCATCAAAGTTGTCTTTGTTTGCATTTTGACTGCTTGTGTTGTGGTTATTGCAAACATGATGCCTTGAATAAAGGTGTCAGTTTTTGTGCCAGTTAAAAGGGTAAAACCTATTCCTAAAGCGCGATGCTGTTGAGTCGAGGGTGAGGACGCGTGGCGCTTGTGCGAAGTGGGAAATGTAAAGCCTCCCCCCCCCTCCCCATGCCTGGCGCGCAATAGCTGCTCCGGTGGCGGCAATGTGAATACCGCGCGAGGTACAAGGCGCTGCCCTGCAATTGCTTGCCTCGTGTCATCGCTGGCGGAAGGGGCCTCCACTAGAGGGAGCTAATCGAGAGCACCCCCACCATATTCAGCGTCAATGTTGGGATGCTCTTATAAGGCTGAGCAGACGTTTTGTAAGAGGTAGGAGTTGCCCATGCTTTACCCCACCACACAAAGGCGACCAGCCTGTGGGTGGACAGTCGGTTAGTTAAAACCCGTCCCTTGTAACTACTGCGCGCCAGGAGCTCTGACAAGTGACAATGAGATAATCCATTGGGGTTTATATTATAATACTTTATAAAGTTATGCTTTTGGAGTGAAATGTGTCAGTTGGCCTGAAACATTACTCCCAGTGGAATTGCCCTTTATTCCGATATGAATGTGTTTTATTTGTGTGTGTGTGTTTATTAAACGTAATTGTATTGGTATGTGTCATTAAAATAAACAATGGATTTGGGGTGGCTTTATTCAGCAATGGATTTATCAAGGCTACATGTTAGTGTGGTGACATCACATGCTAATGTATTGTACACAATTTTACAAACGCCTAATATGTTTTTCAACAGTTTTTCATATATAGTACTTAACTATGGTAATAAAAAGCCTATCAATTTTATATGATTCTGATCTGCAATTGAATTGGCTTAAACGAATGCTGCTAGAAAATAATTGTCAGAATGGCTATCAGCCAATGGAGCGAAGTGTAATTGAGTATTTTTGGTTTTGAAATTATATTTTTTTTGTTGAAAGTTTATATCATTACACCATGAGCGACAGATTTCTTGGAGAGAGGCTTTTTTTTCCAGGAGTAGATCATGGTTGATGAAAATGAATCGGTCAGTTATTTTGTTTGACTACAATCCTTGATTTCCCTTTTCTGTCTTAATCTTATTTCAAGCTTGTACCTCTCCACCCTTCTTTCTGCTATATTTAAACATACGTTCCATTGTCTTAGTGTTTTTAATTTATGTCTCACAGCTTCGGAAGGACTTCTTCCAGCAGTGGATAGATCATAGCTGATGAAAACGACGATGATGATGATCCTTATCCACCTTTTTTACATGGTTATCTTATCACCATTAAGCTCATAAAGCGTTTATCCTCTTGCCTACCGTCCTTGCCGTAGCTCTTGCCTCTGCTGCTGCTTTTTGTTAAATGAATAAACAGCAGGGCGGATAAACTCCCCGGCCCTTTGCTTAGCAACTGCAACAGCACAAAGAACGGGCTGCATTAATATGGTCGTGTGGGAGGTGTCCTGGTGAGTGACTCGGAGGTCTAAGACTACTGTATATAATAGCTAGCCCTAAGCTGGCACTGCTGAGATCCTGGCTCTGAATCCAGGTTTCGGCCACCTGTGCTTGAAAAGGGGTCTTGTGCGTGGCGATTTGTCACAGTGACTGCACAAAATAACCATCACGTTCATTATATTCTAGCTCTGAGAAGTGTTCATTTTTGCTTTGTTACGGGGAAAATCTATTTTCAGGGCATATAAACGGTGCACCAATGAGCGTGCTTTCTGCAGGGATTTTAGCAGTAGTTCTATGTTGCTTTCTTCCTGGCCACACCATGACACAAGGTAATGTTACGCTGCTCACTAGCTCTAGTTATAGCAGCAGCGGCAAAATCAATGGTTGTACTGTACTTATTTTTCCATTATCTGTGCTGGCCGCCTTCAACCTTGCACTGGCCGCATGCTGATTTATAGTCAAGTAACGGCTACAATCTGTGGAGGCGCAGAGAGGCCCTCGTTCAGCTGCGAGTTCACATGTACATCATGAGATGAACAATTTATTTAGCACTAGGTTTTCGCAGCCGCTCGTGCTCTCCCCGGTTAGGCTGCATGTTGTGCATGTTTTCTGTCATGCTTTCGCCACGCACCATTGCGGGCTTCTTCCAACACCTCAAGAATCCACGGTTAATCGGTCAATTGTTACGCCCCTTCTGCCAACCCACGGCGGTGTGCAGAGTGGGTGCGTGTGGCGAATGAGCTGCTGAGGCGCTGCCACGTGAACCTGCGCGTGCGGCGCCTGGCCGAGTGCGACGCCAATGTGTTCGTGGCGATCTACGAGGCCACGCTCGGGGAGAAGGTGCCAGGTAAAGACGTGCCCCACTTCGCGGTGATCAAAATGGGGTCCTATGCATGGCCGTTTCTCGCAGCTTGGTGACCAGTGACTG